CAAGGAGTCTGACTGAGGCCACCTCAGTTCTGTCTTTTTACCACTAGAGTTGAGAGGTATTCCTCTTAGTAATTTATGTAAGTCACAGAAAGGGGTTTTGCATGTGTGTGCGTACACGTGTCTGAGCAATAAGGACATTCTGGCCTTCACTTAAGAAGTACATGATAGTTAAATGAACTATGTGAAAGTGCTAGCTGAAACCGTATCAAAAAGATGGTTTAAAAATGCAATCAATGAAAATGAAACAGTGGCTTTTGGTGATAATTTTATAGTGTACATTCTGGCAGGCTCTCCCAGCTTGCCCAAAGAAAAGGGGTAAAGAAAATACCTGCTTTCTCAATTTGCTGGTTTTCTATAGTAAGTACTGGGTGTGCTGAAAGATTATAAAATTCATGAGTGTTACTTGCCTTTATAGACCCCTTTCTTGTCTATAAATGATAGAAAATAGTAAGACAGGAGTCCCTACAGCTATATCACAGAGTGCTGCTAATAGTGGGAGACTTTGATATGAGATGGCTATTAACTCCTGCTGCACATATACTTACAAGAGACTTTTGCTTTTGGAAAAGTGGGGCATAGGTCTCTTCTGTCGCTGCCACCAAGCAGGGTAAGACTTATACATCATTCAGTCCACAGAAGTGGAGTGAATTTTGAGGTAATGCAGCATCCTTTGTATTGTGCTACTTGCTTTGGAGCCTTAGGCTGACATGTAAACCATCTGATAGCCTGAAGCTGCCATACTGGTGGGAAGCCCAGGCTATATAGAGAGGCCTATTCTGGCTGATAGTCCCAGCCTTGGTTCCAGCTAGTGGCTAGAATCAAATGCCAGGCATTGAAATGAAGGTTGTTTTAGGATGAAGTTTTCTAAGGTCTCAGATGTCATGGAACATAATCATGGAATAGAGAAGCTGTCTTCATTCTTCCCTGTTCAAATTTCTTATCTACAGAACCTGAGTGTCATAAAATAGTCGCTGTACACCGCTAATTTTAAAATAGCAAATAGAATAGTAATGAAACCAGGAACTGTATGTACTGCCTGAATCCTCTCAAGGTATTTCTCTTGGAGAGTTAGAAAAGCTTCTTGGAACACTATTTGAAAACTTCTGGACTAACCAATCTTCAAGGACATTAACTTCTCTTTTCCTAATAAACCTAGGATAGCTTTATCAAGAAAGAGAAATATCTTGTCCAGCGTTTGCATTGAATTCTGCCCCCCAAAGATGATGAAATCTTAATCCCAATTATCTGTGGATGTGACCCTATTTTGAAATAGGGTTGTTTCAGATCCTTGAGAAAAAGTGAAATTACTATGGTGGGTCCTAATCTCCTAAGATTGCGTCCTTTTAAAAAAAGAGAAATTTGGACCCAGAGATAGATAGTATGTAGGAAGCTTGCCTTATGAAGACAAAGGTCAGTATCACCAGATTGCTAGCAAGCAATCTAAGTGATAGGAGAAGATGGGCACATTCTACTACAGGAGGAGCCAGCTGTATTGCAGATGCCTTGATTTAGAACTGTGGGACATTAAATTTCTGTTCATGCCACCCAGCAAGTGTTATTTTGCAATGGTAGCCTTAAGAAACTCATATTCCGGTGTGACATATACTTAGGTGTGACACTGAATGGAAATGATGGACCTTCATTTCCCAAGGCCTTCAGTTAATGCAACCGGACCTTTTGGTTGATTCAGCAATATTTTCTTTGGCGCTTACCAGGTATAAGTACTGTAGGGAAACGCAGAGATAAATACATCTGTTTCAGCACTCGTTGGTGCTCCAGTTCAGGAAGGAGAGCAATAGGACCTAAAGTATAAGAAGGAAGTGCCATAAATAATGAAGTGGTTTAAAGTGTTAGAAAAATTATCTTTTTTTGTTTGTTTGTTTTGCACTGGGAATCAAACTCAGGACTTTGCACTTGTCCGGGAGGTGCCACACTACTGAGCTAAATCCCTGGTCCCTCTAAGTGAGCCTTAAAAACACTTTTAAAAAAGTCTCCAGGATTTTATTGTTTTATTTTTAATTATGTGAAATCTGAGGAATTTTAATACAAGCACAGCCCTAAGCTGGATTTGAGTATAGGGCGCTGAAGATAGAGGGGTATTTCCATGAATATTTAGAATACCTAAGTTCCTCTGGCTAATCAAAGAACATAAATAGAGTAATAATAACCTATATTGTTTGGCCTAAAGTAGTTATAGAGTCCTGGATAAATTTGTGCATAATTTTTTCCCTCCCTGGGGTACATGTTAAAAATGCATGTACTGCCTGAATCCTCTCTTAAAATATTCTAAATATTTTTAAAAACAACTTTTAAAAAGAATGCAACTTTTGTTTTATAAATGTTCATTAATATGATCAGTGCTATTAAGAATATCATTATTTGTATTTTCTTATGGCTTTTGAATCATTTTAGATGATCTTTATGCAAATTCTTGATCAGATTTATGATTAATGCACTCACCATTCATTAGCAGTTTCTGAGTTACAGAGTTACAATAATTATCTAGCTGGTTTACTATAGAGTACTTGAGATTTGATTGTTTTAATATTGGTAGAATTTGAACAAATCATCCTGAATTATAGAGGAGGCTGCCTGCTAAGGCAGGTCCCACCCTGGCACCACTTCCCACCATCATAGCCTTAATTTATTAAATCAGGAATTTAATCCCTCAGGCATTGCTCACATTTCCATTTGGCATGAATTTTTTTAAAAGGTTACCTGGATTTAACAAATACTTGTGTAGCTAAATGTGTAGAGCTGTTTTAACTGAAGTGGAATCTCTAGTGTTCAGTTTCACAGTGTGAATTCATTTAAAATACTTCTTCACTAAAGTAAAGGATGTCAACATCCTGTCTTTGTTTCTCCAGGCATAAAACAAGTAAATCCGTTAGCATGCCTGTATTGTTATGGCTGAGTGTGACTACCAGGAAGGCTTATGAGTCATAACACCACCAGAGGTTATAACGTGGGGAGAGTCAAGAAAAAATATGTCTTCTAATTTTGAACAAACTGACTTCCTGTTAGAAAGGCTGACAGAAAGGCCCTGCCCCTATGGAAAAAAAGTTTGGTTTCCATTTAGAGATCATTGTTGTACATAGCCTTTCAAACTTTTACTGAGATTGGCTGCTCTATAAAGTAGTTTTCATAAAGAAATTTAAATCACTAAGAAATAGAGTTTATACAAACAACTCAGCAGGCACAAATGGAACTCAGCATCTGTATTATAAATTTTTCAACATTTGTTCTTCAGTTGCACAGTGAATACATCTTGCTTTTGCATTGGTTTTTAATTACGTTTGAACTGAATCAGTCTAAGAAACATGTTCAAAACAATCCAAATTATCGAGCATGATTTTAACAAGATTATCACATGATTTATATGAAACCTATTACATGATTTACGATCGACTCCCCAAAGTCTTCATAGTTCAAAGTGAGGAAATGTTGCAATTTTGTCTTTTGGGGAGTTTTTTTGTACCAGGAGAACCATAGAGGAAATACGAAATGCAGACCTACAAAGTGCCTCTGCTTTGTCACTCTTCTCAAGATCTGTCTTGCCCGGGATCTGAAATGTAGCTCAGTGGTAGAATGACTACCTAGCACACTTGAGGTCCCGATTTTGTTCTCTAGCACCACAAAACGAAGCAAAAGGAAACATCTAACAGTTTTTTAAAAAAGTGTATGTCTAGATGTATGAGTTGTAATGAGTTGAAATAAAATATATTAAAGGATTAAAACAATAAAATTAATCTTATTCCCAAATTTTACTGATAGAATTCATAAATTAAATTAGTTAGAAGTCATGACTGACTAGCTTTAGATATTTGATGATGCCTGTCTGGTAACTTTTATGCAAAATATTCAAGCTCAGAAAATACTCGTTCTTTTGGTATACCTGATCATATATCTATACTTTGTGTTCAACTATGTACAAATATCAAACCTAAAGCATAACCTGTATTCACAGACTTATACACCAGGAAATAACGTGGCTCATGAGCAGCTTCTCCCTTTTTTCCTACTGGATGTTTAGAATGACATTGAAATTTACATTCAGAAATATGTAGGGTTTGAGGCAGGAGTTTAAATTCCTGAGTCTCAAATTAACTTCAGTGACTTCCACTTTATAAGTTTACTTCTCCTCCAAACAAAATGCTTACCTTGTATCTGGCTAGTCAATAACAATAAGTTGCTAAAGTCATTTATATCAATATTCCATACAAATCAAAAGGCCAGGAAATACAACAGTGGACGGTGGCAGTGGGCAGTCATTTTCTTCTGTGTATAATGCACTGAAATTGTCCTGTGTCTTGAATCTATTGTGCTCCCAGTTCATCTCCACTTCTCCAGAGTTCTTACTCAGATCTCTTTCTGATATATACATTTACATGGCCTGTCTCCCACATTCACCGTCCTTCTTCATTTCAACTGTCCTTCTCCAGAATTGACTATTAGTAAAAAAAAGAAACAAAAACCCACATACACACACACACACACACACACACACACACACACACACGAATACATAGTGACAATTTAGCCTTGAGTTACCAGTCAAAATTTCCTTGGTACATAGATTTTTCTTACAGAGAGCTAGCTTCCCTAAGGCAAAGTGAATGTGGTTAATTAAGGGAGGCCTCCTCGCTGTGCAGAGCCATTCTGATTCCTTTAAGTAACCACCATCATTACTGTAAGAGTATTTACTGAAAGCAGAGCTGGACAGCTATTGTACAATTTGATCTGGCAAATGCACAAAAATTGCACTCTAGATTAGACATTACAGCACTAATTACCCAAATGAAACTCCAGGGGCACCTTAGGTAGATGCAGTACAGTGAATTAAGGAAGGAAATAATTAGTCACAATTACAGAAACTAGCTCAACACAAAGTAAAAGAATGTACACAGCTGATTTCCAGCAGAACACAGGGAACCTTAGTAATAGTTTAAGAAATGTAAAAGATAAACATGACTTCAATCAAAATGAGACAAATCTCAATGTTAAGTTGTAAAAAATGACTTTATTTGTTGTTTTCTGTTTCTATGTACTACATAGCCAAATAACATTAAGACATTTTATCATGAGAATACATGATGACAAATCAACTTTCAAGTCTTTTCTTGACAATCTTAGAGGTTTTGTTAGCATTTGACACAATCCTAACTCATACAGTGAGTAAACAAGTGGCAAAAGGAAAACTGAGTGAGCATATAAGGCATGAGTGTCAACCCCAATAAAAAGCAGAGTAAGGTGGTAGAGGGAGAGGTACTTAGAAGAAGTTTATACCAGACTAAAAATCATGCATAGGAAGTGTTCTTTGACATAGCCACGAAATTGAGTTGTTCAAAGTTACATCTCCCATCAAGAACTTCTGGTTGAGACAGGAGGAGATTCTTCTCTACCTCTCCCAAGTAAAAGCAAAGATGCCATATTACCAGTGAATACCACTGGAACAGTAGTGTGCACTAGTTTGGAAGGCTGGCATAAAACTATTAGAAGCATAACACTGGGTTTGAATCTGATTCTGGCTGAGACTGTTCAAGCTTTCTTACCATGTTTCCAAATAGAGAAGAAAAGAGGAAGTTAAGTTTGGTGGCACATGCTTGTAATCATAGCACTTTGGGAGGCTGAGGCAATAGGATACAATGTTTGAGATTAGCCTGGGCAAGTCAGAAATTTAGTGAGACACTATGTCAAAAGAAAAAAAAAAAAAAAGAAATAGAAAAAGAAAAAGAGGCTGAGATGCAGCTTAGTTGCAAAAGCCCTTGGTCCAATCCCCAGTGATTAAAAAAAAAAATTATGAGAAAATTCTTTATACATATTGTTTTACTATTTGAGATTAGTAGAGAACCCTGTCCCAAGTTATGAAGCTCTAACTCCAAATGTGAAATCTTTGAAAAGCACTACACATTCAGTGTTTATAGGTAAATTAATTGAATCTTAGTTTGCTCTCTTAAAACAAACTGAATTATATTGACATTTATCCTACCGGCTCACTACTAAGTACTAAGTACTACGAAGTACTGTGGACAGCTTTCATGGTGATGGGTCATGAATATTCACATGTCATTACTGTTGATCAGGTATTTGGTAGGAACTTAGAAATAATCTCCTGAAAGAATGGACTTTTCTTACAGTAGAAAAATTTTTAAAAAGCAGCAAATTTCCTTTTGAAGGAAATGTTAATGAAGCAAAGATTATGTTTTTCTTAAAACCAGAAATCATAAATTAACATCTTGTCCATACTGAATTTGAAATTCCCTTATCCCAAGGTACTCAAGGGAGATTTCAGGTTCTTTAGCTCCCTCCACACAAAGGGTTGAGAGCTAGGTCACGAGTCTTCTCTAAATGAACAAAATGTTTGCAGCAGACAAAACCTGATGCTCAAGTTGCTGTGTAAATTGTGATAGCACATTAAAATAGCTGGAAAACAAGGGCAGGGAAAGAAATGGGCAAACAGTAGGAAAAGCCTACAAATCGTAAATAACAGATTTCATTGTATCAAGAAGCTTGGTGTTAAAAATACTGTGTTAAAAACCAAATCCGGGGCTGGGGATTTAGCTCAGCGGCATAAACACCTGTCTTGCAAGCAGGCGGTCGTGAGTTCGATCCCCAGTACCGATAAAAATGAAAAAGACAAAAACAAAAAAACAACAACAACAAAAAAAACCAAAACCAAATCCAACCCAACTTAACCCACAACAAGAAAATGTAATAGGGTTCTGAGGTGTGGTTCTCTTAGGCAGGTTTCATTGGAATGCATTTATACATCCCCTTTCGACCAGATCATCACCAAACAATTGTTTGTCCTGTATTTCACCATTAAAACTGACCAAAAAGCTTATCTCTCATGAAATTCAAGCAGTCAATGGAGTGAAGGATACATATGGTGTTTTTATATGCAATTTCTCATGAATCCTATAGAGGCTGTAGAAGTTAGTTGTTCCTTTTTAGCAAGAGCACTTGTAGAACACAGAAAGTGACTAAGTAACTATCCCTTATACACTGAGTTGATCAATGAAAGAACTTTAGAAAAGTCAGCAGTTCATTTACCTGAGATTCCCATTGAAAGGCTAAATAGTAGTTGGATGCCTTTTACTTAAGAATGTGAACGAAAATTACAAAATTAAACAGGGCTAGTCAAAAAATTTAGATTCAAAATTAAGTTTGAGACTTTTGAATTGTTATAAAACTTATTAGAAAGATCTTCTTAGTTAAAACATAAAGTCATATATTGATGTTATTTACAACTTCAGTTGGGGGTCAGCTTGCAAAATCATTAAGAAAACAAATTCTTTTGGAATTTTGAGCAAGTGATAAAAGAATTTTCAGTGACCTAGTTCAGTTTTGTACTCAGATGAGATTATTAGTTAATACCAAGTAAAAATTTCAGTGTAAATATGATTTTTAACCTGAACAAATCCCTTTTTAAAGGGTGACATATAAAATAATTATAAATTTTAGTCCAGAAAAAAGCAGTACACTCAGTGTTGTCTCTCACTTATCCAAGCTTACTTTTCAGTACAGTATTTTAGTCATGCACCACCATAGACAATCTGCCAACAAACTGTTTTAAAGCAGCAGGCCTGTTTCTAAATACAACACTTCATGCTCAGGATTCCAATATTGTAGAATTGAACATTTTTATCATATGAGAATTATAACCAAGTTACTATTTAAAATTACTATAATTTCAACACCACTTCTATTTAAGTCAGCTATATAAAATCATCATTCTATAACTTTAACATAGCACATGTATCTGCCAATCAGTTCCCATTGCTGCCTTCTCTGTACAACTCCAAGTAGCATTATGCAAATTAACCAGGATCAAGAAACACTTTTTATTTCTCTCATATTAGGGAATTAATCCTAGGGCCTCCAGCATGCTGGGCAAGCACTCTACCACTGAGCTACATACACAGCCCCCAAAAGCAATTCTTTAAAACGGCATTTTGACCCCAAATCATCTTACTATTTTTTACTGTTACATTACAAAACTTTCTTAGGTCAGTCAGTGACATATTTAGTTCAACTATCATACTGTGTTGGATTTTTAAATACAAAAGGTAAATAAAAGCTCTTGCTGATCATCAGGTAAAAATTATTGCTCAGTGACACCATTTAGCAGGTTTTTTGTACTTTTAAGAAAGTAACAGAACCATTTTAGATGAGATACATAGTCAGAGAGTAGAGTTTCCATGCTTGCATCACAGCAAGAGAGAGCTTCTGGGCAATTGATCGCTATATATAAAAGTGGATTATTCCATGTAACAGGCAGAATTTGAATAGATTTCTACTGCCATGCCCTGAGGAAGGGATAGGGCCTGAATACACCAGCTGTAACAGAGCACTTTAGTAGTGAAATTTTTTCCATCTGATGCATCCACATATCAGGATATCAAAGATGATTAAATTACTCAGAAAACAGACTTCTAATTCTATGCTTTTTAAATTTAATTACCTACTAGCATACTAAAATAAATCTAATTTCTCTAAGGTTGCTCACTAGTGCTACATAGCAGTATTGAAATTAAAGAAAAGGAACTTCTGTATTTAGTTTATAAGTGATATTTTTAAAAATGTTGGTAAAAATGCAAATCAGCTAAATTATAAATGGCCAATTCAAACATGCCTAAGATCAAACCACCTAAGATCACTTTCTTCACCCACTTAAAAGCTCCTTGCCTAAGGATAATTACAACTGTTTGGTATATGAAATTTTGCAATTTAGGGTTCTATTGGAAAAAGGTGGAAAACATTAAAATAATACTCTGTGACAATGCACTTATGTGAATTTGTGCTCTAGAGAAAAATTTCCTGTAGAAAAAAAGACTCAGGCAAAGAAGACAACTGATATTAAAATAATTAGCACAGATTCCGTGGTGCACACATGATGAAAACAAAAGTAAGGACCATGTACAGGTGTGAACAATCTAGAAATGACCTTGGCAAAAAATACCTTCATCCATTTACAATGTGCCAAATGCATGCAACTTATAATTCCCTCCCTTTCATAACAGTGAACTGAAAAACACAAAACAAAACCAAAACATAGATAGAACCATCTGTTTCTATAAGTAGAAAACAATAACACCATTAGGTTTCAAGACAAAAAAAACCCTTTAAAATATTAATATTGAAAAATACAATTAAATTTTTATTAAAAATACATACTCCTCACTCAGTGTGTACATTTTGTGTGAAAAAGAAAAAAAAAAGGCATTAAGACTACCTAATTATTTATATTGTATTTGGTAGAAGTGTGTTTCAGTCACACTTTGATGAAAAGTTAAGTTATTCTGCTTTCATTTGCTCCCGGACATCAGAGGGCAAAGTTTCAAAGAGAGTGTCTTCTACAACTAAACCGGCTCGCTTCAAAGCCCGGCAGTCGCCCAGTTCAGGAGGGAGGATTTCAAAGTGATTCCCTTTGACATCCAAATAGGAAAGAAATAGTAAATTTCCAATTTTTGGTGAGAGTACTGATAGACTATTTTTCCCAATCTTCAGAGTCTTAAGTTTCTTGCAAAAGTAGAGTTCATCTGGAAGGCTTTCCACTTTGTTACAAGTGATGGAAAAATACTGTAAACTTTGTAGAACTCCAACTTCAGGTGGGATGAATCGGATATCATTGTAGGATAAGTCCAAGTATCGGATTTTGTTGCATAGGAAGAGGTGGGAAGGCAGCACCTCTATTTTATTGTGACTAAAGGACAGTCTTTCCAGACTGGTAAGTTTCTTTATATGCTCTGGGATGTAGGTGATGCTGTTATGCCACAGTTTTAGTACTGTCAACTTCCTCAAGTGCTGGAAGCTCACAATTTCTTCTATAGATTTAAGGTTGTTTTCTTTCAGATCCAGTTCCTGGAGGCTGAGCAAGCTGAACACTGCATGAGGAATGCGTTCCAGGTCACAGTGGACCAGTTCTAGCTCTGTCAGATTGGTCATCTTCTTTAAGTTGTTGATCATGACCAGCTTAGTGCCATCATTGTGTATGCACATCTTCTGGAGATGGCTGGCGACATCCACCACTGCCTGAGGGATTTTGGAAACGTTGCTTTTGATAGAGAGAATTTTAAGGCTTTTGAGATCTCTCAGAGACTCAAGAGTGACATTTTTTGAAATATCGTGACTTAGAGAGCCAACAAGGTAGAGCTCTTCCAGATTCCGCAGCCCATACATCCAGGGAGGCAGCTCCCTCATGTCATCAAACTTGACACTCAGAACTTTGAGGTTTTCCTTGAGGAAGGAGAGAGCTGCACTATGGATTTTGACAGAGCACTGGTGTAAAGAAAGTTCCTGGAGATTGTCTAGCTGAGCAATGGTGGCCGGTATCATTACATTCTTAATAATTTCAAGTTTTAGAGATTGCAACTCTGTGATTTCAAAAACAGTGTCTGGAAGGCCAGAGAGCATGATAAGAGGCAATTCCAGTCGATTATGGGCATTTGTCTGCAGTTTCTGCCTCAGCTTATCAGGAGTCCACTCATTATTTAAGTTTAGCTGCTTTAATTTGTTTTCACTGACTTCAGATAAGAACACTGCAAATCTCTTGGAATAAAGAGGATCATACTGATCGATCATATGAAGCATAAAAGCAAAGTCATTTTTCACATCTGGAATATCATCAATTCCAGTCTCCTGCCGGACATACTCAAAAGAATATTCCCTTAGAGAGCGGTAGAATAGCCAGTATAAGGTATAAAGGCATGTCAATCCATAGATACTTACAAAGCACAAGTAGCAAAAGGAGAGTTTTGAGAACAAGTGTGCCATGGTATGATTGCAAGAAAAGTTTTTATATCCAGTCATGTCCTGAATGTCAACATTACAATCCACTGTAAACTGGACTTTGGAAACCAGAGCACTATTATATGCAATGATGATGAGGAATTTGATAACTTTGAGTACAGTCTGGCGAACATACATAGCATAGAGTATATCACCTTCTTCTACATGCAGCCTAAACTTCTTTACTTTCTCAAATAAGGCCTTTGCTTGCTCGCCTTCCTTTTTATCCAGAGCCCCTGCTGTAGATTTGTCAACCACAAATTTCTCAGGAATTGACTTTAGAGACTGAGAGTTGACCAGGCTGCCCTCTGGACCAGACTGGGTGGTGTTGGACCTGTTCATATTGTTCTTCCTGTTGTCTTTTTCTTCTGAGTCCTCCCCAGATACTTCAGATAAAGCTCGTGTGGTCCAGGGAGAGTCAAAACACTTTCCCAAGATGGAGATGAAATGTTCTATTTTGGAGCTGGATCCAGGGAATTTGAACCAAAAGTTACTGCAGAGCATGAAGACCAGAGTATGGATGAGCACAAGGTAGGGGAAATACTTGGCATACCAATGCAGGGCTCGCTCATAACACATCTGGTTTATGAAACTGTACTGCTGAAGATCCAGGTCTGTCTTCAGCCCTTTCATTTCCACAGTGGCAGGGTTGGTAGGAGATGGCTTGGGTGGAGGCAGTGGGGTGGTACTGGTAACTGCTTGAGAGACATTCGACACAGATGAGTGGTTCTGAGCAGGCTGCACTCTTTTTGGAAGGCAGATTATTTTGTCTTGCATGACCTGAAACACAGAATTAGTATTTTCAAATTATATTACTCAAAGCTTTCATAATGTCATTAGTGTAAAGAAAGCAGCAATAACATCCAATAAATGTCCATTTCCTCTGCCTGGAAAATATAATGTTCAGTTCCAGCACCAAGGTTTTATTCTTAGCTCGTATGTTAAAAAAAAAAAATGAAATGTCTGACTTTGTTCATCACATCTAAGTTATGACATAAAACAGCAGCTTTGTCGGGATGTACAAATCAAAACAAAGTGAGTACTTAGAGAACATTTACTTTCTTAAAAATTTGCATTTCTTCTCTCACTGAAGATGGAGAGAATCAATCATTAGTATAGAAAGTGCATCACCAATCAGATTCAATTCTGGTCTGCATAGCTTTCAGTATTCTGTTGGTTTTTACACATGCAGTAAAAGGACTAGAAAAAAGTATGGAAAAATTCCTATTATTTCTCCTTTTCTTTCTATACATACCCTGGACTATATGCATAGATTAATATGAATAGCTTTAATATAATGAGAATTCTGCTAAGATTTCATAAAAACAATTTCTTCAGAGAAAGAAATAATACAGAAGTGTTCAACAGTAAAACCATTGTCTAAATTTGCTAGCTTTTTGTACAATATTGAGAATCTCTATCCCTTTACCAATGTTTAGTATGATGAAAAGAATATTATGCTGTAACAATGTCAAGAAGTTTCATCAGGTTTAAATTTGGGGAAGGGAGAATACTGTTTTTACTGTTTTTAAAGTTGAGATTGAGTAAGGTGGAATGTACCTTGTATCATCTTGGAGGAATAAGAAGCAGTGGTAAGTGGGACAATTTGAACAATAAGCAAACAGTTCAAAGTGAGAATAATAACCAACGAGTATACCAATGACATATGGAATAAATAATTCAGAGAAAGTCCACTGTACTACAAAAAGTCAAAGGGCTGGAAATCCACAGTGTTTGGTGATTCTGCAAGGGCAAAATGTTTAGTAATGTTCCTATATCAAAGCTTTTTATTTTGATTACAGCAGTGGAAAGAAACAGAACTCACTGCAAAATTTACCTCTATGTCATGGTAGGTGACAAGCTGGTGCCAAGGGAACTATAACGCATAAGACAAAAGCACAATGTTGACAGTGGAGTGAATCACCCAACTTAAGTATCCAGTACATAGGAGACCACCAATATATATATATATATTTTTTCTTTTTTTCAATATATATTTTTTGAGAAAACGAATGAACCCAGAACAACTGCTGGTCCTTGCAGTTAAGGATTGTATTGGCCTATGTGTGAAGGACATTGTTCCTGGAGATGAAGATGGTGATGAGAGTGATGAAAACAGCACACTTATGCTGTGCTCAGTATGCAATCATCTCTATTCTCATAATGCCATAGCTATTAATTCTTTTAACTGTCATCTTAATCTGCTGAGTCAGGTACTCTCATTATTCCCATTATTCTTAGTAAGATAAAGAGTGACATAACTAATGTTAGCTAGCGCAGGGCTATGTGGACTCAGCCTACATTTTTATTTAATAAGATTTCTAGAATTAAACCAAAGGAACCAAATTTGACTTTATTCTAAATAATGAATTATTTATACAAATATTTCACATTTTATGGACAAAGCTTACTTCTTCCCATCTCCTGTGCATATAACAAGAAATGAGGCTAGAGAAAGAAACATGCTTTGCTATCCAATTTATAACACTTTGTCCTGGAAAGCAAAGCAAGAGGTAAGTACTGACAATTTAAATAAAACAAAGGCAAAGAAGAATAATGAATGACTACATGCAGAAGAGAGACAGATGTCAGAATTAACAATAACTTCAAACATTTGTCACTTTCCAGTATCAGAAAAAAAGTTGAGCATATTCACCTGATATGTGTAGGTTTAAATCCATATAGCAATCAATACGGCAAGAATTGGAAAAGCTTAGTTTCTTTCTCATTAAGTTTAAAACATACATAAATGAAAATTTTCACTTATGTGTTACATTTCAATGAAGCATGCTGCTTACCTTTTGGAGGTCAAACACCCTACTTTGGAAATCTCTGGAAGAGAAAGTAGTAGGAAAATGGCTAGGCACATGGCAGAATACCTCAAATTTATCTTGAGATATAAAGAGAAACAATTAAGAAATTTAGGTGATGCTTTCCCATTCTTGGTCTTATTTAATCCTCCAGTAATCTGGGAAGTAGGAAGAAGGTAGAGGCCAGAGACCATCAGGGAAAAGGAATGCATTTCCTTGAACACATTCTCCTAGAGTGACACCCTTGAGCTAGTATGTTAATATGACAGTTAACAACGTGATAAAAACACAAAATGTGTAAAGCAAGATTAGTCAGGAGAAAAAAAAGCAGGCACCTTATTAAGGTGCTAAGTCCCTGCCAAGTGACCAGGCAGACTGTCCCCATGCCTCCCACAGACTTGGTTCTAATGATGGGTCCTGTGGGCCATCTTGGCTATGGCATAGGATTTCAGGTTGTACCCTGTACCATGGTGCCACGCTCAGGGAGGGACAGGTATAGGCTAAACTCTGATTTGTGCTCCCTTCACTTAGGTGCACATACCTAGAATTATGTGTGCATGATGGGGTGCTTTTACTATGTTGTACAAAGGCAGCCAATTTGTGGGTAAGGTAGGTCACATCGTTCCCATTCTGTAGGAAAAGAACTTGACCAAGGTTCAGGAGATTTAGAGGATGTGTACAAACTGATACAGCTAGAAATGGCACAACAGAAATTTAAAGCTGTCTTCTGCATAGCATTCTTCCACCACTCCATACAATCATTTTGTCTTGCTAAATTTCAGTTATGATGGCTTATAGGGAACTGCCCAATGCAGGACAGCAATATGGAGACTTATCAAATTTTATATTTTTCTTTCAGGCTTTATGAAGATAAAAATTTTGAAATATTCCTGCTCAAATTCCAGGAAGATAAAAACTATTTTCCCAAAAACCATTGAGTAAAAAAGAAATACTGGAATTTAGTCACTAAGAATAGCAACTGTTCATGTTGCTGAGAGAACATACTCTGAAGACTTTTGCACAAGTGGCTCCCAATAGGTGACTAAAAGAATGGCCAAGACTGACTGGCTAGCCCAGGACTATGAAAAGGGTCAGCTACCAGGTGAGTGAGTCCAGCAGTCAACAGGACAGAATTTTAACAGGAGGAAGTAAGTCTCCCTTCATGTTGTAGAAACAGTACTTCTGAACACTGCAACACTAAGAGGGCCTGGGGAAAGGATCAATATTTTCAAAACTATGTTCAAATTGAGAAAAAAAATCAAGAAAAACAGACTTCCTAAAAAAAGTGCAGGAGAGGGAAGTGGGAGATAGAGGAGATAGAGTTCCTGTTGTCTCTGAAAATAACAGCAGCCTGTGAAACCTGAAAGTTTTTGCTTTGTTTTTTCTGCCCTTTGGAGAAGTTTGAGGAGTTAAACCTGTACCACCCTTCTTTCCCTTTATCCACTGATGTAAAAATTAGGATGCAAAAGAAACAAGCTGCATTACACATTTCCAGAGAGTAATTATAGGGTCTCATATTTGAGCCACTGATGCAGGACTAAGAGGAGTTCTTGGGGGATGAGCAGGAGGAAAATCCATGACTACATACAGTTCCTTGTAACCCCTGCCTGAGACTTAGATCCTTACCAGTCATAACATGGAACAGTTCTACCACTCAGGCTGCTTTTGGAGAAAAAGGCTTGAGTATAGAGCTACATACATAGTATTGTTTGTGCAGAGTGAAGGAGGGTGTGCTTGTGTGTGTGTGTGTGTGTGGGGGGGGGAGAATTGAAAAGCAAAATTAAGAAGAGAACCTGACTCAAAATATATCAAGGTGAGGAAAGTTAATACCCTAAAAGCTAGTATGAAAATTCTTCTTGGGAGTCAGGCGTGGTGGTACATGCCTCTAATGCCAGCCCCTGGGAGCTATGGGTTCAAGGCCAGCCTGGGCTACACAGCAAGATCCTGTCTCAAAAGCCAAAAGAAAAAATCTGAAATCATGTTTTTATGAAAAATAAGTAAATGTGGGATAAAGAGAGGTAAACAGAGGAAGGTGAATTATCAACAGAAAGGGGCAGGTAAAGTCCAGGTACAAAGAGATGGTAAAACTACTTCCTCTCCATTGGGAGGAACAGGCTTGGATATACAGAAAGATAAGCCAACAAAGCCAAGGAGACTAGGCGTGAAGAACAATAGGTCAAGCAACATAACAGATGCCTGGAGTATGCACTCTTCATTTGTTTTGTTTTGTTTTTTATACTGTTTACTTCTTTAACTATTACCTTTTAATCTCCAAATCTTTAGTAAAATCTGCTATATGCACATACATACACATTTTTATGAATGACTACTGTAGAAACCACAGCAAATTTCAAGCCTGAATCAGAACTGTACAGAAGAGAAAAGTTTGCTTATGAGTGCCAAAAAATCTATTATCTAAATTATTTCCATGGAAGCAGAAATTGATACCTCAAAAACTGAATCTCTCCAGGAGTGGGCCAAAACTGTGAGAGGGTATTGGACTAGGGTTTAACATTTTCTACATCTTTAGGAGCAGCTGATACCCAGTTTACAAAAGTATATAAAAGGTCTCACAATTGAAGTTCTTTGACAAAGCAATGTACATGTAAAATTGATCTATGACTGTGATAATATTTACATGGTATTTCTGGAAAAGATATCCAAAGATTGGATGAAACGGATTCACTAAAATTGGATTCCTGAATGCCTCTCAGTAAATACTGATATTCAAAGCAAAATACTGATTTGAAAGCAAAATAGAGTTACTCAAGCTATTGAAATGTGAAGGAAGCCAATCACAAACAGATGAGTTTCTCTAATCTAGGGGAGCATAGTAAGAAAGTCCCCTCTGCTTAACCTGAAGTAACCTTTAACCAGTCAGCCTTTTCTCTATGGTTCACACCCCATGGTTTTGCTAATGCCCAGTGGCAGCTCTCCTTTTATTATGTAGAGCAGAGGCTGCCCCAATTCATGAATCCCAAATAAAAGCCAATTAGATCTACAATTAAATTTGTTAGAATTGTGTCTTTTGACAGAATCTGTCTTAGTTACTTTTCTCTCATTGCTGAGACAAAAGACCTGACACTCAGAGTTAAAGGAGGAAATTTTATTTAGCTCAGTTTGTAGAGAGTTCAGTCCATAATTAACTGGCTTTAAGGCAGGTTGGCACATGGCAGAGGGCAACCATTCATGGTGGCAGAACACAGTGAAACCAACAATAGAGGGAAGGGATGAGCCTCTTTCTGTCCCTTATGTTGTTTGCACTTACCCTAGAGTAATTGTAGCACTCACATTCTTAATTCCAGCATTGAACCCCAATCATTCACAAACTCTAGATTCAGCCACCTCTGAAAAGCTACCTCTCATGACTGGATAAGGCTTAGGGGGGACATTTAAGTAACATACTGTGATGATATAAAAGTAGGATCTACTTATTTGGGCCACTGCCAAAGAAGCATCATGGCGAAAAGCAGACTCCACTGGTGACAGCCAGTGGAGAAGGTATCACAGTCACATGTATGAGATACTGCAGGGCTGTCTAAACAGAAGTTAAAACAAAACAAAATCACTTAGCTTCAGAGAAACCACTTGAAATAACAAAGATAGACCAACATAAATAAGGACCAGTTTATCTAGTACATGTAAGAGCTATAAATGACGCCTCTGGTAAATGTGAGTGCTGGGGAGATCTGCATGTACCTCTTGGAGAGGCCATCAGGCTGCAGTCTCTACTACTGTCAGTTTGTTAGGTTAGGGGCACAAGAACAATAAACTCTTCAAAGGTCAAACAAGGAGAAACATTTGTAAATCAGAAATGAGTGCGAGAAGGGCCCAAATTTATGCTTGCTTTTCATAAAGAAATTCATAATCAATTCCTCTACATCCAGAAAAAAAAACCCTGGTGATATTTTTATTATGATTACATTTTATAGATTAACTGAAGAAATTACTATAAATTTTATAGTGTTTGTTTACATTTAATTTTGTCTTTCAAGTGTGTTTTATAGTTTTCCTCATGGATTTTGTATATTCACTGTTAAGTTACACCTATTTATTTTTGCTACCAAAATTTTGTCTCTTCTTTTAAAACATTAGTTTTGAACACAGAAGGTAGAGGGCTCCCTACCCTCATGCCATGGTTCAGTGAGTCCTGGTAAGTCTGGTGGATCCTATTCCAGATCTGTATTTGTGCATTTACATACATACGATATGTAAACAAATGAGATTTTACTGTTCTTTGTTATTTCTGCAATTCATATATATGTAGTGACTTTCCACTTTGATAGGATGTCTTGGAGATTTTAACATACTGGCATTTGGAAATCTATTTCTTTCTGGGAGCCGCAGAAGTATGTATTGCAGATGCAGTACAGTTTCTTAAAAGACACTCCCCAGATGGAGTGCATGAAGGCAATTTTGCTATTTAAAAATGTGCCAGTCACCAAAGATTAGATATTGTCTGATATTACATGGCACACTGGAAAAACCAGATAAGGGCACAGAACAGATCAAAGGTTAGGGTGCGTCTGCAAGTTCATTATAGAGGTCAGTGCTATTCTAGGATTCCTTAATGTGTTGAGATGCTTCTGCTTCCCTATCAGTAGTGGTGACTACGAGTCTTACAACTCAAAGACAACATTGTTTAGATAAAGGATGCATTTTTTTATGGTACTGGGGATCAAACTTACCAACTTGCACATGCCAGGCAGGTGCTTGTGCCACTCAACTAAATTCCTGGCCCCTAAAAGGGAGCATTCTTGAAGATGGGAAGGTTAAATGCTGCCCAATATTAACATGCTCCATACTTTTTCCTGGTACTTTTATGTATTATATGTGAGTCTCTATTTTTAACTTTTGTGATTTTTAAAAGTCCAAACTAATCACTTCTTTTTTATGAGTAAACAATCAAATACATTATTTGCTTATTCATATATGGGTACTTGGACTTACTTTTAAATTTAAAATTTTTATTTATACTAATTTTCTCCTTTTTGTCTTCGGTTGCCTTGGTAACTTTTTCCACATCTCTTATCTCTCACCACTCTTCTTGCCCTCTTTAGTGAGGAAGTATAGATTGTAGGGCTGGGGATTTAGCTCAGTGGCGTAAGCACCTGCAAGCAGGCAGTAGTTGAGTTCGATCCCCGGTACCGATAAAAACTTAAAAACTAAAAAAAAAGTATAGATTGTATTTCTATTCTTCAAGAGGTTGCCTGTCATTTTCCTTTCCAGAGTGTTAATCCATGGAACAATGCCATTTTGTGGTCCCCAGTTTCTTTTAGCTTTCTTTTGAAATACAATTTTTTTTACAATCTGTAGTTGATTGCGATTAGTTATATATTAAAGCAGGTGTCCACTAATTCTCTTGAATTCTATGCTTCCTCTGTGTTTATTTTCTCTTTGAAGTGTTTTTATCTTTTCATTATTCTTAATAAGGGTCTCTGAGGATGGGAAACTCATATGCTTTGGAGATCTGAAAATGTCTATTACTTTCATTCTTGAAAAAAAGTTTGGTAAGTTATAAAGTTCTGTGTTGAAAGTAATCTCCCCTCAGCGTTTTCTCTTCGCTTATAATTTTGCTGGTGAGAGACTTGCTATCAATTTGATTTTGTTTTATAGGAGGCAGTCTTTCTCTATGGTTGCTTTTCAAATTTTACCAGTAATTTATCTACAGTTTCACTTTAATTTTAAGAATATATGGATTCATCTTATTCCATACCTAAAGCCAAGGATCAGGTTTTCTTCAATTTTGGAAAATTAGCAAGTACTTCTTCAAAGTTTGCTTCAAAAATTGCTCCATCCATTCGTACACAACTCCTATTAGACCTAAGTAAATACAGTCTGTCTTCCTGTAGACACACTGTGTGTGTTCTTATGTTTGTGCTGAGCTCTGGGTGGGTAAAGTCAGAATCCTGTCTAATTCATTACTTCTTTTTGTAATTAAATACAATATAGCTGTTCTATCAGTTCATATTTTAACATTAGTTATTCATTTATTTTTTGTGCTAGGGCTGAATCCAGCACCACATGGATGTACCATAGAACTACATCCCCATCCCCCACTGAACCTTTGATTTCCAATACCTAAATTTTTTTGTATTCACCTGCTCTTCAGTCATATCTACTTACCTTTTAATATCATGACTTTATCATTCTGACTACTCTAGATACATTTATTTTCCATTTATTGTCAGCTATTCTGAAACTTGGTTCACCTTGAGTGAATCCAGTATTCCAAGTTCTAAATTCAATGATTACCTTTCTTAGCAGTTTTCTTCATGAGTGGCAGACACATTCTGAGTGGGGCGTTATTTTCCAGTCTCTCTTGTGTGTGATTTTATGGTTTCCTGCACTTAGCTGCAGCTCTCAGCGAATCACTGGGTTTTATGGTGGGGAGACGGGGGCAGGCTCAGTGACCTCCTGGGTGGGAAGCACCCCAGATGGTCAGGTCCAGTGCCCAGTTAATCAGTATTCTTCTCAGTTTCCTTTTGGGAGCGTGAGCACTGGCTTCAAAGAGTGACCAAGCTGCGGCCTCTTATCTTGCTTGATGCATTTATAGTTCTCTTTACTGGCAGGAGCTGAGCTTCTGGCTGTTACCACTTAGTTTTGGATGACAGCCCAGCAATTGATTCAGCTGCATTTGCATTCCACAAAATGCTTATCTGGTGTTCGGGTCTATGTATGTGTTTTTGTTATCTCTTTTTATATTTTATCTATTATGGCTATATGTGAACAGAAGAGTGTTTTGAAGTATAATATTTTACCAGCTTTTCTATAACGGCACGTGTATTTCAATATAAATTTTGTCAGGACAAATTAAAGTTATGCCAAATCAGCAAAATTAAAAATATGCTTGGATAGTGCCAAACAAGGAAAACTTTAAAAAGTAATGCATGATGGGCATCTGGGAGGTCACTGCCTCAGAATGGGAAAATACCCTGATACTCCAAACCAGCCAGTATTTATTGGGTGTGTACAATGCAATGGGTATATTCAATGATAGGAGGGGCTGGTGGCAGATTCCAGATTGGGGTGGCTGAAGATTCAGACGTTGATAACACTGCGGGCAACAGATAATGCTGGGAAGTCCCAAGATGGAAAGATGATCTTATGCTAAGAAGAATCTTGCTCTGGAGTGTTCTTTTTCATCTTTATAGTCTTATTTTAGTCTTAGTGGGTGGGAGAGGATGGCCCATCCCAAGAGTTAATTGGAAGTCTCAAAAGAATGATACCATAATCCCAAACCTCCATTTATCCTTTAGAGAAGTATACAAAATTAGCCATTGTGAATTTGTGGCCCCAATATATCCCCCTTTTTCGTTTCTGTAATAGCAGCAGTTAGGATTTCTTACAGATATTATTGTAATTTATTCTTGATTGTCCAGAATGGTGATCAATTACTGGGTTAGCTGGAAACTGCCAAAATAGGTTATGATTGGAACTCCTTCCTATGTCTAACTTATTATGACATTATTTTATGTCTTTTGATGTTCAAGACCAAGTTAAATTCAGACCAAAATAAGTTGAGACCTGTACTAATAAAATTAACCTCTTGCTGTCTATCAAGATCAGTTACATCCCCTCAGGATTTGCCTTGGAACCATGTATACAGCCTCTCAGTTCTTGACAGTGTCAGCTGTCAGGATGACTTCCGACCACTGTTGACTGTAAGTTGCTTTCTGTGAAAGCCTGGGAGATTTTTCTTCTTTGGGTGATTCTCCTTAGGTACACCTCCTTAGGTAGGATATTGTAGATCACTTTCCTTTGAGGTCCCACAATCTCCATGATCAGAAGACCAGGGACTCAGAGTTATGGGACTGAAAAAGAAAACTTACACTGCCATGTTATTTGCTCCCCTAAAAGGCTAAATTTCTTTACATATTTTCCACCAACAGTACATGAATACTTAGTTTCCCACATCCACAGTAATAAAGTCCATGGCTGTTTTTCTATGAACTACTGCCCTTATATTCTTCATTTTGAATTTTAAAATCACAGTCATGCCCATATCAACACAGCAAAGGGAGTGAAGGAGAAAACTTGCCTGGTGTGATAAAATTGGTGGTACCGTTTATTCTAGCAGATTATCTTAGGATCCAAAGTATTCTTTGACAGTGTCTTATTAAAAAGACAATGCTTTATTTAGTTAGGGTATAATTTTGAACTAAATGGATAAAGTGGAGCCACAAAAAGACAGAGCAAGATAAAGGCAATTTCCAACTCCCTTCACCATTTCTTCACCCGACAGCTTTCACTACAGCTGCTACCGAAGAGTTTACCCGAAGTTGATCGTCCAGTCTTGCCTCCAATCTGACAGACAAACCAAGTGATTATTACCTCTCCAGACCTTAGAATGAAGTAACAAGAAACACATCCAAGGACCTATTCCTGAGATTTCTTCAGAGAACAAGCTATTCTCTGCCAAATAAAACTTACTGAGTATCTACTAGGCATATATGCTAGGTATCACAAGAGCCAAGAGATATAACCAGTGTTTGTTGTTCAGTCTTGTTGGAGACATGAAAAGTCAAACAAGGCACAAAGAATGCAGTGTGTCCACCATATGCAAGCATGATAAGAGCTCCAGTTTAGAGTAATCAGGGAAGGTTCCATTCAGGTCTTTAAACTCTAGAGGACAAGAAGGTTATGATCTTGCAGGTTTCAGAGACAGGAGCAAAAGATTGCACTTGGTGAGAGGAAAGAAAAAGCTTGAGAAGATGGATTGTTATTCTTTCCTTTGTAGATCCCCATCTCCAGGTTAACAGGTCAGAAATAGAAGGGGAGGGAAATAACGGTCATGTCATCACACTATTGGTTAACGCACAAAGTGAAGTACCATCTCCCAGAAAGAAGATGCTAGAGGACAAGTAGGCACCCATACTTAAAAGATATATTTATTCTTATCAGTGGTAGAATTTACTCTAAAAATGGAGATTTCTGTCTCAAGATTACTGAAAATAAAAAACAAAACACAAAAACACTCTGATGCCAAAGAAAAAAAGGAACAAAAAAGGCAGGGTAGCTGGCTCTATAGGAGTGAATATCCAAATGCTTTTGAGTTTAGGAAATGTCTTATTCACAAGCTTAGCTATTCTCCAAGTATAATGCTGTGTATTTAGAGGCAATCACCACTAGAGCACAAAAATAGACATTCGTGAGAACCACACATGCTGCATCACTGTCACCAGAACAAACAAGGTCCTTGTCTCCAGGGACCAGGGAAAAGCAAATCTCTAAGTGCACGGCATCATTTCCTGCTTGCTGTACACACGCTATCTTCTTTCTTCCTCTTTTCTCCCTTTAAAAAATTACTTCTATTAGTACACACTGTATTTGTCATATATTATGATCTAGGGAATTTGCACCTAAACGTAATTATGTCTTCTTTTTTTTTCCCTTTCCCCTTTCCTCCTTTTAACTCTTTTTCTCCATTTACAAAAGCTTTGTTTCCATTTCCCTCCTCGATTCCTTCCCTCCTCTTCTCTTATTCTCCTTCCAGTTTGAGTATGTTCTTCCTACTTCCCAATATGTATCATCTTTTATGTACTATATTTACCTTTTGGGTTTCTCACATATGAGAAACAATACAATATTTAAACTAGTATGTCTGATTTATTTCACGTAACATTATCATCTCAAGGTGCATCCATTTACCTAAAAACAAGTTAATTCTTTATTGTGGAGTAGTACTCCACTGTATATAATCACCATATTTTCTTTATCCATTCATATGTTAATGGGCATATAGACTGTTTCCAACATTTAGGTATAATAAATAAGGCTGTTATAAACATATATATGCACATATCATTGTGATACGATGCTTTTAACTTTTTCAGGAATATGCCTAGAAAGGTACCACTGGATCAAATGGAACCACTGGAGGAATCCCCACTCTACAGTGCTTGCACCAGTCTGCACTCCCACCAACAATGGAGAAGGTTACCTTCTTCCCCACAGCCCCATCAGCATTTGTTATTGATTGATTTCTTGATGGTAGCCATTCTTTCTGGAGTGAAATGGAATCTCAGTGTTGTTTTAATTTGTATTTTAGTTACAATGAGCATTATTTCATATATTTATTTACTTGGATTGAGGCTTTAAATGGAGGGGTTGATGTTTTTGAATTCTTTATGTATTCTAGATGTTCGTCTTTTGTCTGAGTAGCTTGTAAAAGTCTTTTCCATTCTGTGGGTTATCTTTTCACTCTGTTGGTGGTTTCTTTTTAAGTTGATAGGATCCCAGTTGTTCTTTGTAGTATTTCTTGTGTAATCATTGTCTTTGAGAGTTTTACCTTTTCTTCCAACAGAATAAGCATTTCTTTATTAATATTTAGTTCTTTGATCAGTTTCAATTTTTAGTTTAGTGCATGGTGAGACATATGCTCTGTCTTCAGCATGGGGACATTCAGTTTTCTCAGCACTAGTTATTAAAGAGGCTGTTTTTCTTTCAGTAAAGGTATTTGGACCCTTTGCCAAAGATAAGGTAGCTGAATGTGCATGGAGTTGTTTCTGTATCTTTTATTTTGTTTCACTGATCCCCAGGTCTTTTTCTTTGGTAGTACCATGTTGTTTTTAATCACGGTAGCTTTGTAGTATAACTTCAAACTGGGAATTGTAATACCCCCTGCCTTGCCCATGCTGCTCAGAATTGCTTTTGCTACTCTAACTCTTTTTTAGTTCCCTATAAATTTTAGGATTGTTCTGTCTCGTCCTGTGAGTTATGCTACTGGTATTTTATTGGGATTGCATTCAATTTATTTAACAGTTTTGGAAGTATGAGCATTTTCACTCTATTGATTCTTCCTATCCAGTAATGGGATATCTATTTTCTGATATCTTCTTTTTCAGAGTACTTAAGTTTTCAATATAAAGGTCTTTTACTTCCTTCATGAGATTGATTCTTAAGTATTTCATTTTTCTTGATGCTATTGTGAAAGGTATTATTTCCTTAATTTCTTTCAGTGAGTGTGTTACTAGTGTACAGGAATGCTATTGATTTTTGTGTTGATTTTGTATCCCGTTATGCTGCCAAATTTGATTATTAATTCTCAGAGCCTTTTTGTGGAGTTTTTTTTTGGGGGGGGTTTCTATGTTCTTCTTTTCTTTCTGCAGTCTTTTTTTTTTAAAGAGGAGTTTTTGGTTCACAGCAAAATTGAGAGGAAAGTATAGAAATTTCTCATTTACCTCCAGGGTCTTTACATTTATGAATTTCCTCAGTGATAGTCTATAAATAGTACATTTTCTATGGATTTCATTGATAGAAATTAAAAACCAGACTTTAAGCACTTGGTTATACATCACCAGAAAATGCCTGTGCTTGAGGAAGATTATATGTCACTCGCCTGGTAGAACTTCCTAAGTCACTACTACACAGAACAAGTAAAAGGCTAAGCACCAGTAAGCTCCTTGAGGACAGGCACCATGTTTTGTTTTCCTTTCCTGGCATGAAGTAAGTAGATAATAATGTTGGGTGAGTGAACACAGTCTCCTGCCAAACAACAAACCAGTACACACATTTGCAGAATCAGGAGTAGTGAAAATCTAGAAGTGCTAGCTTCTAGAGACCTTCTTTTGAGATGAAATAATTCATTTCATACCAAATGATGTAAGCCTACTAGTTTCTAAAGCCAGAGCTAAGTGCTGACTCATGTGAGAGGTATAAAGAGACTGCCAGATTTGCGAGGCACTGTTTATTTCTAAGAAAAAGAAACCATCACATCTTCATTAACATCATGTTTATGTCTTCCTATCTTGTTCAGGTGCACAAGTCCCCTTTCAATGTAAATGCTGACACACCAATTTTTCTGAGGGCAAAGATGACAATACATACTATCACTGTTAATCTTTTTAACTCTCAGCTCCACACTTTCTGGACATCAAGGATGTTTTATATCCTGTCTCTTGGTTGTATTTATACTGTATTTTGTTTTCTTTTTTTTCTTTTTTTTTTTTTTGAGCAAATTGCTGTGCAATAAACAAGAAATCAGAGGCAAAAAAATTTTAAATGAGATTAAGTAAGATTTGACACAGTATCCTCTCATTCTGCTGTACAGCATTTTCCAATAAGCCAAGTGGTTCACTGAACTATTTAATTTGTAGAAGTTTAATATTTGAATGAAAAAACATCCATTTCAAGGTAAAAAAAAATCCTATGTAAATAGGAAAATTCAATGGATGTAGAAACAACAGATATATTAGGGACATGCACTTTATAACAAAGATTACTTGTTTTACTACCGGTAGCTATGCCCTTAAGATAATATAGGGAAAAATCTTTTTGAAGCCATACTTAGGGACTTAGTTTTACACTCACCTGACTTAAAGACACATTACAGTTTACTGATCAATCTGTGAGTGAGAGCAACACAAAAGAAATTGAGAGTGTTCAGAAAGAAACTTAAATCTCCCTGATTGTAGTATGTGACTAGCACACATAGAAAGAATTCTGATTATCCAAAGGATACAAACCAAAATTTGTTCTAAAAGAATTGTTCAAAAATGGTTTAGGGCCAGGGATTTAGCTCCCTGGCATAAGCGCCTGCCTGCCGAGGGTTCAATCCCTGGTACCAAAAAAAAAAAAAAAAAGTACTTTTAGAAAGTTACTGTAATAGTTCAAGAGCAATACGCTATTGTATGCAGCAAATGGTGATGTTAGCTGCCAGGCTGAGGTGCCATCTGTGTAAAGGAAGAGGATAGACATCTTTCACTAACACCACAGAAGGAGGGCAGTTAGGACAGAAGCCAGGGCACTTGCTACATGCTTGTTCATGGGATAGAACTCAATACTCTTCCTTGTTTCTCTTCACTTCTCCTAGGACAAATAGGGCTGGTAGAGATGGTAATTGGAGAACTGAACTTTAATGGCACAAGGGTGCAGATCTGAGTCTGATTCTTGAGGCTGTTCCTTGGGGTCAGTCTATTTGGATGCTCTCTTTACAGCTTCTGTTGAGTTTTTTTTTTTTTTTTTCTTCAAGGCTTCATGCACACTAAGCAACCACTCTACCATCGAGCTATGGCCCCAGCTATCTTTTAAGGTTTTAAGAACCAATATACTTTGAATAGAGAGATACCAATCGTGCTTCAAAACAGCTACCCTTATTCCTGCCCAGTACTCCCAACATTTCTTAGAAAAGCTAATATTTTTAAAGAGTCACTGTGTTTAACAGTCTTTATCTTAGAAATGAAAAGTACTATTAATTTTATACTTTGCCTCAGAAATCTAAAGAGTTTTTGTATCCTATAACACAAGAATATAATTTCTATACACCTATAAACATGTCTATATAGAACGTCAAGCATTTTAATCTTCCCAGGAAAAATAGTTATTTTTTCCTTTGTGCTTTTAAAATATATACTCATGCAGGATTATATGTTTTAGAATGCTATATATAACATTCTGCACCACAATGATTTAAGTATTTTCAAGATCAAGTCCAAGATTTCTATTTTGATAGTGTCTACAGCATAAACAATGAATACAATGAATGAATAAGTGTATTGTTTTGCTTCTGAAACTATTCCCTAAGACCTTTGGTACAGAGATGGAACCTTAAATTATTTGTATTCCCTATATTACTTAATGCAGGGCTGGGAAAAGTCAACATTCAATAAATATATGCACTAAGGTCAGCCTGGGCTACATTGCAGTGCAGTCTCAAAAAAACCAAACCATCCAACCAACCGAACAGTATGGCTTTCTTTGCAGTTTTATAGCAAAAATTTCACAAAGCAGGACTCTCCTCTACAAATATTCTAAAAAACCCCACCTAGATATTAATGTTTTAAGCATTATATTATATTATAAAAGAGATCTCTATTCAAGATGATATGGCACCAACCTATAATCCCAACACTTAAGAAGCTGAGGCAGAAAAACTGCTGAGTTCAAGGCCAGCCTGAGCTACACAGTGAGATGCTGTCTCAAAAAAGAGAGAGAAAGATCTCATTGAACTTTCACTAAATCTCTTGTAAATTCTCTTCCAATTCTGATGATCTGTTTCGTAAAAGAAGTTTTACTAGTGTAATTCTACAGTATTCATGGATAAGAATTACTCACTATCATGAAAATACCACTGTTATTCAAGAATCATTAAATTATAAGTGATTTTTAAAAATTCCTTGAAACACTAATATATACTAAAGAGAGTTAATAAACATAACCAAGCCTTCAAAATTCACTTAAAAATGGTTTGGCAAGAAAACACTATTTTTCTAGAAAAGGACATGAAGATTGTATGAATCTTAGTGCAGCTTATAAAATTTGATCCATGGGCATAAAGGCTGATACTGTTACAGAATTAATGACCACTAATTATAAGATATACTTTGCGATGCTGGAGATACACTCCTCCACAAAACATCAGGAAAAAAAAATCTGGTTATTACTATGACAACCAAAATTTTATTATAAAACAACCACAGAGGATCAAAACAAAAAATTCAGTTTCATAGAATCCATTCCACTGATAATCACTGAAATGATTGTAACAATACAGGGAGGTGGCTCAATTTCTACAGTTGCTAATCCTAACATCGGTGTGATTTAACAATACATTTTTTTCTGTGCAAATTTTGGCTGCAGTCCCACACATCAGGGCACATAACAATATGTAAGTCAGGATTTGTTGTTTTCTTATTAGCATATTACTGCAAAATATCCTCAAGGGATTTTTCCTCCACGTTTATTATTTAAATATCAAGCCCTGTTGTTTTGGCATTGAATTTATGCTCATTATTCTAAGGATGAGGCTCCAGCATTTCCACCCAGTTCTGCGGAGGACAGTGGTAACTTTTTCATACTACCAATCAAGGGCCATTATTACCAGCTGCTTTTTCTGTTGTTTAGAGAAGATTTGATTTTTCTCATCTCCGTAGTAATTTCCCCTATACAAGGCTTTCCTCCATTATTTTATGATTCAGATTTAAAGTGAAATTTAGGATTATTGTATTTATTATTAAGACAGTCAATGAAAATCCTCAGCATTGCTGAAGTATATTGATGTATTCAGTCAATAAGTATTTTTTGTAGATCTAAGGTAGACAAGTGGGTACAAAGATGAGTCAGATGTGAATCTTATGTGTAAGCAACCTGGCATCATACAGGAGAGATGAGGTGTACCCCTCACAACTTACGGCCTACCCTGTGGCCAGTTAGTTGCTTTGGTAATTCACATGGCCCTAGTTCCAAGACAGAGTAGGGTTAAACTTTTTGTCCTAGCTCTGCAATGTCAGACAAAAGCTGGAAGCTTAAATCTAAGGCATCTGGCACTCATGGGTGCACAAGGTTCCAGGACACCAGAGGGCAGGTGCCCAAGGCGAGTCAATGCTTGCCTCAAGTCCTAGAAAGTGGATCCATGTGAGTAAAGCGGGAAAGGCCCCTCTCCCTCATGCTGTCTTTCCTCTGTCTTTGTGTGCTCCACTGTGGCAAACTGGCTCTTCACATCTGTCTGTGATGCTCTTCCTGCAGATGCCCACCTATCTCCCTCCCTCTGGTCCTTTGTTCTGTTCTAAGGTCACCATGTCTGGGAGGATGCTCTGGACCACTCTACTTAAAGTGAGATCAGTGCCCTCTGCCTCACATCACTTCATTGTTTTCAAAGCATTTAGCAGTCTGACATGACATTTTAAAGTTACTGAAGAACATTTGTTTTTCTGCTGGGATTTTGATTGCTTCTCAACCTTGCTTCTTAGAACTATTCTGTGTAGGTAAAAGGGTTCTCATGACACATGGGGTCTCTTTGTCTGCCTACACCCCCTGCCTCACCCCTCCACTTGGCTGGTTAGTTTCTGGAAAACATTTCTGACTAAAGGAAACACAGAACCTAACCTGGCATTTTCAGAAAGGTCTTGGCTTTCTGAAAGTTGGGGTTTATGTCAGAACCAAAACTTTCCTTCCTGAAACCTACCACTGGTTCCTGTTGATCTTCTAGGACAAGAGGATAGGTTTAAGCCACCTGAATTTTTCTCACGGTAGTGCTTCAAGTGTCTGCTGTCTGTTCTTCTGTTCTTTTAGACTTCTCAAATTGAGAGTAAACACCTTCAGCCAGGCTGTTCAAGGTTTGTGGGTCCCCCTCCTTTAGCAGTCTGGCCTCTCAAATTATGGTTTAAATAGCCCAGAAGTGACTGCAGTTCTCTGTACTTCAAAGGTAACAACCAGATGCTCTCTGAATGTTAGTACATGGCTCAAGCATGTTCTTTGTACCTCTTCATTCACTCATTCCTTCATTCCACAAGATCCATTCCTTTGAGCACTTAGGTATGTATCTGTTCCCGATTTCCATTCCGGGGAATATGGGAATGAACCCAAAAGACGAGGCTTCCCATTATGGAGTTTACATTCCTATAGCTTAGAAGGAGGTATTCTAACTGGAGTTTTGTTTAACAAAGAGAAGATATATCTTAGAGGTAATGATTTTTCTACTTGTGAAGTATGATAAAAACAATTTTCAAAGAGATTTATACGCTTACAACAGAGAAAAGGACACAGTTTGGAGACACCACCTCAGTTGTAAAAGAAAGCAGAATAATTGGTTCATGTAGCTGGTTGTAATTTGAGTGTGGTGATTGTGTGCACGCAATGGATGTGGGGTTGGGAGAGGGGCACTCAGAGAGGGCTGACCTACCATGCTCCTCCTTGCCTGGATATCATCACCATTATTTCATGTAAGCCCTGTCCCCTGCCCTCTCTTCCCTTTTTCTTTTAATTTCTTAACCCACTGTATCCTCCTCTACCACTGTGAGCGTACTTCACAAAAGCTGGGGATAAGTTTATAAAGTTTCTCAAAAAAATTGAATTGGAATTTTACTGATTGGATTTATAAAATAATTGAGAGGACTTGGCATCTTTCTAACATCAACTGTCTGTTTATTCAAATGGTCTTATATGGAATTTAATAGACATCTAAAAGTTTTCTAAGGAGGGCTTGGTTAACTTAATTCTTAGACATGTAGTTTTTCTTGCTATATTCAAAGTAACTTTTTTTCTGTTAAATCTGTTTGTTGGTATGAATATGTCTAGTGAAGAGCATTTTTCACATTTTTATAACTTTTTTACTATATGAAAGCTAGATATTTCAAAATAATAGGAATTATAAAATAAACAGCAAAACCCACTTGTGATTTTGGTATAGACATCTAAGTTATTCTGAAATATTACAAGTAGTCAGACAGGAGTGGGCCCTCAGAAAAAGTCAGTGCAAAAGGCAACTATGGCCAGAGGTGAATTCCATGATGGTCAGGCCTCAGGACAGAGAATATGACTGCTCCCACATACTTCCCCGGGGATGAACAGCGGTGACTGATATTCTAAATAGGTATCAATCACCTCGGGGAGAGGGGGAGAAAAGGTCCTTGTTTGCCTCCCCAATTTGATCATCATTTAATTAATCTTACCTAAACCATTACACTTGCAATCTTATCGGTTGACTATAACTTTGTTCCACATCATAATTTCCCATTAGATCAATGTTACCCAAGCAACTATCCTACTACCTGATTACAGCTTTATCCCACCATTTACCCGCTTCATCTCATGGTTTTTCTCAATAAAGTTCCCTTAAAAAGTGGGGTCCCCAGCAACCTACTCTGGACCCCTTCTGTCTCTCAGATAGAAGCTTTCTTTCCCCCAATAAATACAGTTTTCTTTCCTCAATAAATATATCCTACTCTTAACATCTGCTGTTCTTAGAATTTATTCTTTGATTTTAGAGAATACGAACTAGGCTAACAGGAGAGAATATTAACAGGTTGGAATTATATTTCTCTTATATTATTTAAATTACTTGGAGGACTTGCATTATCCCTATATCAATTTTATGAAGAAAAACAGTCTTGTTGGGGAAGCAGCAAGGGTATTGTTTATATTCAACAAAAGGCTCCACAGTTGACCTAGAAACTTCCTAATCTACAATTAAAATGTGGTTCTAGTGTTCACCAAACCTCATGGGTGGGAGGACACAAGGGTTTCCAGTGTTCTGAGTGGAAGGGAAGAGAGGTTCTGGAGAGGAACGCAGTGAGGCTCAGGTGGAGGTGTGGAGCCCTATGTCTAACCAAGACGAGAAGACTGGTGGATCTCTAAGTCGCAGGTGCTGAATAGGTCACCTTTCCCTCCTATCACCATGAACAAGTAATATAGACTTTAATCAGAGATATTAAATGATTCACACACAGGGACAACTGAGACTCAAATGTATAATAAATCTCATTTGCTTTGCATAGCCAAAAACCTGAAACTCTTGTCAGGTCTTTGATATTTGAGGGGAAAGATATATTATTAAACCAACAATAGGTAACAAGATCATATCAGCCCATATTGGTGAGATAAAAGGCAGTGTTCCCCATTCACTAACTGACATTGCACAGCATCAAATGATTTTTAAAAAAGCATTTAGATTCACACTCTTTGTTAAACCAAAGAGAATGAGGTGAAAGGCACTCACACATTGTTCCTAGGGCAGGAATTCAGAGCACATTAAATTGTCAAGGTGATAGATGACAAGAAGTAAAGTTCTAGGGATGATCAAAAGTGTCCGTCTGAATAACCATAACAATGGTGGTCTTAACTAAGGCTTATTTTTGTTCCCAGATGTAACAGGCGTTTGAAATAGTGTCTATTTCACTGCATTTTCCACTGTACCTACAGACAACGAGGAAGGCTGCTGTTGAAAATTATTTTCACTGGGAGGAGAGGGTAAGTGGATGAAAAAAGAATTGAGATGCGTGATGTGCATGTACCAACTCCCACAAGGCATGCAGTCATTATGCACCGCACGCATGTACTAATAATTATTTTTGACAATTCAAATGATTTTTGTTTTATATTCTCAAAAACCCAAATGGAATGGTGGTGTGTACTGGGTGCACAGAAGCTTTATACAACAAAACAGATGAACCTGAGGCCTTCACTTAAACACACCTGTGCTATCTACTATCTCATTCCAAATTTCACAGTACATAAGAATCTAAGATGGGCCTTCACTTACACATTCAAGTTTGGAGGAAAAAATTCTACTGTAAATCCCATAGATGCTATTAAAATGACGACCTGAGATTGCTCTGGAATCTGTAAATTCCCTTACCTGTCCTTTTCTGCCCCTGGCCAGAGAGCATTTTCACCCTAAGGCCTTCTTGCTATGGGGCTGACACAACTCTAAATCAGGGAAGGAGGATGCATTTCAGTGTCCACCAGAAATCAGAGTGGGAAGCAAGAAGCTCGGATGTCCCAAACTTGTACAGTGTGGCCTTGCTGCCCAGGTTTCTCCTAGTGAAGACCCTGTGTTTCTTTCCTAGATCTTCTGTACTGTGAATGGTGTTAACCACCAAACCATTGCCTTACTACCCCCTCCAATTCAGAAAACAGGAAGTATGTTTCCTGTGTAACAATCGCACAGTACAGCCCCTAGGGCTTCCAGGGGTCTTGAGTCTTTCAATTCCTGTTTCTGGTTTCTAACTGCCAGCTATATTTAGTAACTGCCTGCCTGTGGGCTGCTATGGATTTGGTCACAGTAAGATAACCTGGAGTCAAGAGCAGATATCTAAAGTAATCTTATTTTTCCAGGAAGAAGCATGCTGACCTTTCAGCATTTGGTCTATTTTATTGAGTTTGTTGAGTTTTTGAATAGTGTTGTTTATAGCACAGAGTTGGACGTTTACACTGTGGGTCCTTGAGGGTAAATGACTGTACAGGAATAGGAGACGTACACGCCCACACTTTTGTGTCTAAGAATGAATTTATATTTCTTATGTGGACTGATGTAATCTAAGGGATGTTCTTTCTGCATTAACTTATTCCATGGCAGCCTTCAAAATAGTGATTGCTTAGAAATGAACAAATATTTGTCAGATGAGTAAGAGTGCTGGTTTTAATCCTTTTACATCAGAACAAGAAAGAAACCACATCCTTTTAATAGATATTAATCTCTTCCTCCATCTAGTATTCTTGATGCATTGTGTTAATCCTGTATGACTATCACCTTTCAGGAGTAAACAGATAATCAGCTTTACCTGTCATGGAAGAAGCTAGTTTGAAAATACTTAAAAAGCTGTTGATGGCTTACCATTTCATCATCAAAGAGTGACCTTCTAACTCTACCTAAGATTTTGTTTTGTCATGTTTTCAAATCTAGGAATTAAACTGCTTTTAAATATGATCAAAAAGAATGACTATACTCTCTTTTTTACAAAAAGAAAAGGCATAAAACCATATTTTAATTCCTTTAGTATTACCTTGGAAATGGAAAAGGAATTTGAGCTTCACAGAGAACTCTTTGTGAAGTTATCAGTCATTAAGCCAATTTCAGAGGATTATCATGGCAGGGCTGAAATAAGAGCTTAACTCCCTCCTGCAAGGAACAGGATTTTCATTTGCAGTTATGGATCCCAGATGGTTTTATTTTCTTTAATAGTTTATATCATGTTATTTCTTGAATCTTTAATGCTTACTACAGAAGTTATCCTTTTTTTATAGTAGGCATACAGTACATAACTTCTTAAAATCTAATCTGTGATTTAGCAAGTTAATACTTTTAAACTTTCCTTTTTTTATTCTTGTCATTTTGTACTTCTTTTTACAAACCAAACTTTGGCCACACAATCTGTGCCCCTGAAATGGTTCCACAACATCTTAGCAGTGTGCACAGGAGCAGAAGGTCTGGCTGGAGAATCAGCCTGAGATCACTCTTGGCTTTGGGGCAAGTTACTCAGACTTTCATATGGACAAGTCCTTTGACAGGTTTTTTCTGGAAACTAAAGGTACTTACAGATTCTGGCACAGGCTCTCGAATGCATTTACTCAACAGAGGTGCCATTGGCATTCTCAATAGGGCAGTTCCACAGCGGGAACTCTTGGCAGGAGTTTAACATTCCTCATTCCTTCCCCTAAATTGCTACCTGGCCCCCCTGCTACTATGCTGATCAACTAGTGATTTGTGAAATAATCATACTAAATCTTCTGTTGATGCTAATTTTTTTCCCATTTCTTTCCTATTAAAAATATATTTTTTTTATTTTGTATACTCATTCTTTGAGATTTTGCTCAATTGCCTCCTCTTGAAGTCCCTAACTTCACATAGCTGAGATGACACTATAGTAGTCAGTGCTCTCAAGGCACCAGTGACAATCTTATATGCTGGAAGGCATCACTTGGGCTCAAGCTGTGCTGTTTCCTATTCCACACCCAGCACCCCACACACTGACTGATGCCTGACAGATTGCTGGTGCTCAGGGACTTTAGTGGGTGAGTACTGGGGATCAAACTGAGGGCCACTGCACTGAGCTACATCTCCAGCCCTTTTAAAATTTTTTATTTTGAGACAAAGTCTTATTAAGTTCCTAATTTGCCCAGTTTGGATTTGAACAGTCAGTGCTCCTACCTCAGCCTCCCAGAGTGCTGGGGTTACAGGTATACGCCACCATGTCCAGCTAAGTTAACTTCTAGAGTTTACTGGCTTTCTATGTCTTTCCTTTTTCCTGTACTTCATCTTGCCCTGGAATATGTTAACAAGAAAAACAATCTCCTGGGCTTGTTAGGCAGACCCTGCAGCAGTGCTGGGAGCCATGGCAAAGTCATAAAGTCAGATAGATTTACAGCCCTCTGCTAATGACCTATATGTTACCTTCTTCTATTTCCCAAACTGTCCATTCCAAATCTTTGCCTTTACCTTGCAGCCTCTACTACAATACCTTCCTTGCTGCCATCTACTGCTTTCTCCTACCCTCACAGTCTCAGCACATGTACTACTTTCTGTATTACAGAGAAACGAGAAACAATAAGGCATAAACTCCAATCTTTCTATCCACTTCCAAATAAAACATGTCTGCAGCCCTCATTCCCATTCTTGTAGAAGACCTGCTTTCCACCTGAGTCAAGAGTGGTTTTTCTCCCTGTGTCCTGGTGTCCCCACCCCTCCTTCCTCCTAAAGATAAGCATTAAATCATTAATTCTGAAACTGTCATCACATTCTACTGCTTAGTTAATATCTCAACTTTTTCTTTTTAAGGTACTGAGAATTGAACTCAGGACCTTGTGTTTGCAGACAGGCACTGTGCCACTGAACTGTATCCCTGCTCAATATCTCAACTTTGATGATTAACATATATCTCTCATAACAGGCTCAAAAACAAACTTTTTTTAAACTTTGGCCTAAAAACCAACGTTAGGGTCATCTTTGATACTTCTTTTTGTATCATATTTCACAGCAAATATTGGTGAGTTTTTCAACAAATGTCTAGAACTACTGTTTCTGAGCTGACCAAAGCTGTCTGTTCTATCTCTTGCCTAGATTATAGCAGTAGCCTTCCAGATAATCATTCTGCTTCCTTTCTTGCCCCCTATACTGTATTCTCAACAGCTGCAGTGATCTTATTAAAACTGCAGATCTTGAGAACCCTCTGTTCAAAATCATCCCAATGTGTCTTATCTCACTGAGCATAAAGCCACCCTTTATTGGACAACAATGCCCTGGGTGAGCTGGTACCCACGGTCTCTTAGGCTGCATCTTAACTATTCTTTTCCTTATTCACACTGCTCTAGCACCATGGGCCCTAGGAAGATTTGTTCTTTAGGCCTAGAACAATACCAGGAGTCTCTATAAGAGTTACCTCAACATGCAGATCAAGAGTATCACAAGTTGCACATGGCACCAGAATTACTTAGAAAGAGACTGGAGTCACACCTTGCCAGCAAGGCAGCATCAGGCTTCCCCCTGAGTGAAAACCTTCACAGCTGTCCTTGTTGGAGTCTACATGGATGCCCTGAACTAGTCTCTTACTGAACAGATCCTCCCCTAGCATCTCAAATTCAAGAAAAGGTGCACCTTAGGTAGACTCAGGACATACTATTTATTACTTAGGCCTTATGTCCTAAGGGAGCCACTATATTTGTAGCAAAATAGATGCATCTTCTATGTGTCAAGTCACATGCCACTGCAAGTGTCACCACAATCAGAAATCCAGTGATAGGGTTTTCAACGAGGCATTTAAATGTCTCCCAGCCCAGCTACAGCTGACCAATGAGTGGTCATTAATGCCTTCAGCACTGTTGCCTAGTAACACAGCATTCTACCTCTTTCAGATCACCAGGGGAACACAGCTGGACAGTTGAAATTTTGTAGAGAAGGTAAAATGCTGCAAAGAATGAAAGGTCCCCTTGTCTCTGCCTCTGTGCTCCTTGCTCTTGCTACCTGGAAGGCGCCTTCCAGGACACCTGTATGGTTTCTGACTATGTCTCTTTCAATTCCTTGACCAAAAGTCACAACTCCTAACACTCCTGCCGAGACCTCCTACCACCCTTGCATGCTTTTTCTTTTTTTCCAGTGCCCCTATCACATTTGAACATATTACAGTAGTTCCCTTTTATCTATGATTTCTCTTTCTCTGGTTTCAGTTACTGATGACCAGCTGTGGCCTAAAAATGTCAAATGAACAAACTCCAGAAAGCAAACAATTCATAAGTTTTAAATTGTCTGCCATTCTGAGTCGTGTGATATTAGTCACGTTGGACCCCATTTGGTTATCAGATTGATTATCTTTGCGTCTCAGTGCTTATATTCAAATAACCTTCACTTTAACAATGGCCTCAAAGCGCAAGGGTGGTGATACTGGAAATTCAAAGTGCTTCCCCTAAGTGAAAAAGTGAAAGTCTTCATTTAATAAAAAAAAAAGGAAATAGTTATACAGTGAGGTTGCTAAGAGTCATGGAAGAATAAACAAAGAAAAACACAGGTTTGGTACTATTCCCAGTTTCAGGCACCCATGGGGCATCTTGGAATATATTCTCAGGAGATTTTTGTATGTAGTTTACTAGAGGATCCTGTTTGTTTAGTGACCAAGTTTTATTCCTGTGAACAAGTTGTTAAGTGGTCACTCAATAGGGAGCTGTACATGGTGTGGACATTACAGTATAAGAATAGAAGCTGCCACCTGCCGTTCAGGTTCCTGCGCCCTAAGTCTGTGCAGTGCACCTCCACTGTAAGCCTGAATAGTCATTAAGCAGGTAGAATGTTAAACGAGAAATACCTGTAATTGATTTTGCTTAATTTACTTGCTCTTTTCTCATGGAATTTAAACTTTACAAGGCAGAGATTTTTTTTTCCCCTCATTCTAGAGAGAATAGTGCCTGGCACATAGTAAGTTCTTCAACAAATTCTTGTTTTAGTTGTGAATGAATGTCTGCTTTTTCTCTCTTTTATGCTCTAGCTTCTTACCAGCATCGTTTCTTGGGGGGTGGGAAGGGGATAAAATGTCTTTAGTTAAATAAGACACAGTACTGTATAGTGCTAGGCATTACAAAGGACTTTGGATTCAAATTGCTGGGTGTAAATAAAGGCTTGCTGCCTACTTGGGAGTTTTTTTTAACCTTTCTGTGCCTCTGAGGTGTCATTTGTAAATGGGGTTAACAATAGCACCTATGTCCTACAGTTGCCATGAGAAAAAAATGAGTAGCATGTGTGTAAAATGTCCAGAAGACTGTCTGACACAAGGAAACTCTCTGTAGTAACTATGGTTAATATCAGTTTTAAAGGCCTTCATTTCCATGCTGAACCACTGCTGGCTACTTTTCTCTCTCCCAACCTCCTCTTCCAGCTGATCTTTTCGAAAGTCAGTTATCCCACAGTCTGTCTGCTTCAACTCTCATCCACTTGCCCTGTCACTGAAACTAGTATTTAAAAGGCCTACAAGGGACTTTTTTCTCTGGGAGTTCACTGAGAACTGCCTGTGATCATGGACTACCCTTCTTTTGGCTGCTGACAGACTCTTCCCTCCTTGTTTCCCCAGTTTTTATGGCTTCCCCTTCGCAGTCTGTCTCAGGCTCTCCTTCCTCCTTCATATTCTTCAGTAATTTCCTGCCATTATCTCCCCCTTCACCTTCTCCTTGTATAGTTTTGTGCATAGGCACAGCACTGAGACTTACAAATAAGCCCAAAGTGTTCTACTGAGAGTTTCCCAAAAATGCTGTGTTCCTTCTCATATCTGTGACTTGAAGCTTTCTCCTTCCTCTTCTGGCACCTACTCCCACTCTCAGTTCCTGTTCCCTCAAGTTTTAATGTAAAACTGGTTCCCGAGATCAGCCAAATACCCTTCCTTTGTACTCCCTTCCCGCTGTGTGGCAGCCTGTATCACACTGTAGCATAACTTGCTGGTGCAAGCAGCTAGACACAACTACTTATAGGTGTCTGTGTCCTCAATGCATGGTGTCTGGCACAGAGCAGTGCACAAAATGTATCTGGATTCCTATTCAAGTACAAAGAATCTATATGATACTCAGTATGTGAATACATAACATACCAGACTCCACTGAAAAAAGACATTTACACACTTTAGCAGTTCACAATATTAATAAAGGTCTGGAAGCTATGGCCACTATTTTGAGCATCTCTTGTAATTACAGAGGCCAAAGGTAACTTGTTTGAATCTCATGTCTCAATAAATTTAGTATTAAAATATTTATATAGATTTTTCTTTTCCTGATGTACACAAATTTTTTTGGTGGACTCTATATATAGAATTCAACATGTGAATACATATCATCTTCAAAGAGTACATTTTGATTGGGTTACATTTTAATTCAGAACCAAGCATTGAGAAAAATAATGATATATCACTGATATGAATTCTTCCAAAAAATCTTACTAGGCTTAAGTATAAGAGGTGAAGAAAAGCAAAGGTTCCATTTTGGCACTATAACGGAAATTTTAGGAATAATCTGTAGTTGACTGTAAAGCCAACTTTGAAAGGCAAGGGACCCCTTGATGGGAGTCATCACTTGACATTAGTCAGCTGCAACAGGCTCAATGAAATCTTATAAGTACTATAGTTACCTTATTAGGACAGTTTAGCAAATGTTTCAGGCTCCCTGCCATGATTACAAATGACATATACAAAAAGAGTAGAGCAACTAATATTTACACTGTTAAAAATCACTAAGTGGGCTCTTTAAGAAATTTTCCCGGTATGGCATCTTGCTCTGGCCCCGTCTTGCCTTGGCTGTAGGCATCTACCTGCAAAGTACATCCGAACACACCCACCTACCTGCAAGGTGCATCCGAACACACCGATCATCAACATGGCCACGGAGAGGTAATCCGTAAACACATCCCACCATGGCTTCAGCACCCGGAAGGCAGGCTGCTGCTCAGAGAACTGCCGGAATTCTGTCACTGGAATCATGTTTCTGAGAAATGAGAAATTGCTGGTGAATTAATCTATTTTCAAGTACACTGTTACCCACATGGAAACACTGCTTCAACCCTTCAGAAGCAGAGGTCTGCCCAAGTCCAGGAACTGCCAAGACACACCAGTGTTTAAATGAGACACTGAATAAAACCACCAGCAGAGGAAATGAGACCCGCATGGAACAGGCAGGAACTTATACTGAATTACTGTCCAGCAGCCAGGCTCCTGTTGTACTCCTGGGGGACAGAGGGACTATGGCCAAGTCCCGGTTATTTCTTGTTCCCTTGTTCCTTTGAGCTGAACACAAAGATATCAGCAAGGACCCAGCCCATCCTTTGACACATTCTTGCTATTTCTCTTACCCTCTTGGGTAATGGTTTAAACTATGTTTGAATGTCATTCCAGGACTCAGTTGTGTTCATTCTCCGGGAGAGCTCTATTTGTGAGGCATTTTGTTTACTCCCTGGGAAAGGGAAGCAATGTTGCTGAGTGGTCGTTGTTTTCAAAAGGAGAAATCTTGCTAGTGGTACTGTATTAGAGAGGACCATTTTCTCTCTGCTCTCTTTTCTTTTTTGTCTCTGTGAATCTGTTTTCATATTTTTCCCTATTTCTTGTACCTTTCTTACTTCACTATGAACCCCACCCTGATTTTCTTCTCTGAGCAATCAGTTTGTCCTAGGAACCTGATACGGTTGGATTAGTGTCCCCAAAAGGCCTATGTGTTAAAGGGTTGGCCAGCAACCTATGGCTTACTGGGCTATAGTGGAACCTTTGAGATGTGGAGCCTGATAGAAGGGAGATCCCTAGGGTGTACTACTGAGACCTCAGCCCCTTCCTGATTCTGTTTCCAGTCACCATGAGGTGGGCAGGCATCTTCTGCCATGCAGTCCTCAACTATGTGCTGCCTCGCTCCAGGACCAAAGGCAACGGGCCAGCTGAGCAAGGACTGAAACCTCCCCAACCATGAAGCAAAGTAAACCTTTCTTTTTTTTGAAGTTGACTTACCTCAGGAATTGTTACAGTGATGACTAGTACAAGACTCTTATCTCCATCTAAATGATAGACACTGAATAAGCAACATGCACCCGAGGCTGCGTAAAAAGGGGAAAAAGAGGCCCCTTCTTTTCTTGGTATGCATTTTCCTTTCATGGCACATCCTCACTGCCTTTACTGTGACCCAGGATTTGGGGTTAATTGTCCTCTTCTGTGAGAAATATTTTCTCCTTATGTTATGGAAGGAATAAAAGGGGCTAATGAGTGTCAAAATGAAAACTTTCTTCCTTCTGCTTTTTTTAGGTCTAATAATCCAGCTCTTCATATCTGTCTTCTTACTTAATCCTAATTAAAAATGAAAGGGAAAGGCTACGCATGCTGATCCATCTGCTAAATCTTGTTGCATAGATTTTCATTCTCAATACCAAATTAATAACTGTACAATAAATATCCCATACAGAACCCAACTCTCTCTGTTATTTATTTATTGGTCTTTTTCAGACAAGGTTTTACTATGCAGTTTAGGCTGGCCTTAAACTCACTTCATGGCCCAGGTTAACCTTGAACTTGCAGCAATCCTCTTGCCTCAGCCTCCCATGTGTTGGGTTACAGGGATGCACCATCATGCCCCGATGTCAACTGTCTCTTTCAAACTCATTAGTGGTTATAACTTTGGAAAATGTTATTAATTTTGTATTGCTACTTTAGGTCTTTTTTTAAAAAATTCATTTTTTTTTTGGTTCTTTAAGAATGTTTAAAAATTCAGTACCCAGGAGACACATTCACCTATGACCCATCTACTTGGCATCTGTGCAATGTCTGATGCTATTTCCTCATTTTAATAAACAGAGCTCCTTTCTGTTACCACCACTAGGCTGCAGGCTTCTTCAGAGTAGAGCGTTTATGTCATGCATATGTGTGCCCTTAAGACATATGTTGCAGACAAACCACACAAGCTAAATAAATTACTTCACCTAGTCCTAGTATGATTAAAATTTCAGACCAGCTCACATTTTGTTTTTCCTGACACCTTATGGCTTCGTTTCTCTATGAATCTTGACAACCTTATTGCCCCAGCTGTGTTCCAGTCAGATGCTTCGGTGATAACTACGGACAGGTACTAATCCATCATCACTTGCAAGTACTACTTCAGGAGCTCTTGTCTTATTCTATTTTTGCATCCCCATCACTCTCCACTGAGCCTAGAAAACAACAGGACCCGAACAACTGCTTGCTGAATAAATCAATATAGGTTCATAGGTGAATGTAGGTGATGGTTCATGGAGCAGCGATCATTCAACTCAGATTTGGGGTGACCCTAATTAGCTGCAGTGACAGTGATAATTAGCAACTGTGCTAAAGTTGAATGTTTTTGATAGATTTGATTATTTTCTCTCTCATATGTTTCTTTATACCTTGGAGGAAATTGTGCTTATCCATTTGAGCAGAGGACAGTTTCAAGAAGAAAGTGCACCAAGGTAGAGCAATGGTTCTCAAACTCTTTGGTCTCAGAACTCCTTCATACTCTAAATATAATCAGAACACCAAAGTGTTAATGCTGGTACCCTTATAAGTAATTTCATGTCAGAAATTGAAACCAAGAAATTTTAAAAATATACATTAATTCATTAAAATGAACTCATTCCATACTTATATATACTATTAGGAAAATATATTTTTAAAACCAAAGATTAGTGAGAATAATGACATTGCTTTACATTTTTATGAATCTTAATACTGGCTCAATGTAAAGACACTTGTATTCTCAGCTTAGCATCTATAGTCATTATATTGTGATATGTTGTTTAAGTGAAAAACACATGTTAAACAGAGATTTCTGATTAGAAATATGTCTTAAGGCTTTTCAGGCCATTGTAGATATTTATTTTGTGAGAGTATACTAAATTTTAACAAGGTTACTTGTAACATGAAATCTGAAAACTTTACCAGTGGATTTTTAAATTCTGTATTAAAACCCTTAAGTCTCTCTTGAATTCTCAATGTGTTTGTATATCACATGCATAATTTTGCAACATCATAATTTTGTAACCTGGAAAAAAATGAGTCTCTGAGTTATGATGTGTTTTAAGTACTGACATATTTCATTACAAAATAGAAAAACTCATGTTCATTAATATCACCACTGCTATCATCAAAAAAATTTTTAAGCAGTGGGGTAACAGTCAAGCTCATGGTGGATATATGTTCTTCAAAATTCTAATTACTACTTGAAAAGCAGAACTTTGTCACAAGTCTTGTTATTCTCCTTGCAGCTCAGGCTCATTTCATGCATACTAAGCCACAAGCCCAAGTCTGAACTTCAACAGTTTTATTCAAGTAACAGCAATGTAACATAATAAAATAGATAATTTAACTTTCATCTCAAAGTCATGCCAGGCTTTCCCTTGAGACACCACTGTATGTTTCGATGCAGAAGAATTGCTCTGTGTATTTTTCCCATTTCATTATCACATCATGTATTAAAACAACATGTAGTCAAGGGCTGACAGTTACAAAAACAATTTTTACTGCTTCAATGGGGGCTTTAAGTGAAATTCACTTTTAATAAAATGTAAGCATCTATCCAGGAATATAATCCCTTAAATATAATGCTGCTTCTAGCTTGATTCATGCAAACACATTCTACCCACCACAGATCTGCACTACTGGTGAAAAGCCAAAGAAAGCATGAAATATTTTGTTCTTGTGGGACCCTTAAAAAGGTCTGGGTTCCAGGAATGGTGGTGCACACATATAAGTCCAATGCTTCAGAAGCCAAGGCAGGAGGATAGGAGCTTGAAGTAGCCTGAGCTACATACCAAGTCCCGGGACTAAAAAACCCAAAACCAAGCACAGTTCCCTCTCCCTTAAACCAAAAGGTTTCAGTTAGCAGGGTCTCATTCTCCAGATTTTGAGAACCACCCAGGCAGAGGTTCTCTTTGAGTTATTATACACAGATTTCTGTGTTTGCATCTATGACAAAGCAAGCTGGCATCCAACACAGCATTAGTCCTTAATATTTTTGATACAAAAAAGGGACTAAGGAAGACTTCAAAAAATTCTCCAACTAAAGAGAAGGTAGATGGATCTTTGCTTGCTTAACTGAAATCTATCTACGTTTTGGGGGTGGTATTCTTCTTTTACAGCTTTCAGCACCTTTGAAAACTCATGCATTACAGTGGCAGCCACTTCTTATTTCTCTTTTATTATCACTGTCATTTTCAAGTTACTTGTGACTTGTTATCATTGAAAGCTAAGGGAATTACCTTTGAATAAATGGTTGGTCTTAAATATTAGAAGGCATGATCAATCAGCATAGTTTTATTTCTATTCAAATATTTTTAAAGTTTAGAAATGTAAATGATTATCTACACTTCCTCCAACCCCAATTTCCATCTTATTACAAAACATTTTAGTTTACCTAATTGGTAATATCTTTGAAAATATAGTATTTCAAATAAAATCAAGAAATTCTGATATAGTAATTTTTAAATATATAAATGTAAATTTTCACACCATATTATATATTTGCATCTGTAATATTTTACAGATACCCCCTATATATTTCCTTTTAAAAATACTTATTACAGGCTGAGTGTGTAGTGGTGCATACCTGTAATCCCAGTACTTGGGAGACTGAGGCAGAAGGATCAGTGCGAGTTCAGGGCCAGCCTGGGGTACAAAGTGAGTTCAAGGCCAGCCTGAATTGCACAGCAAAACCCTGGGTCAAGAAGCAAAAAAAAAAAAGAAGAAGAAGAAGAAGGAAAGAAATATTACAAGATCTGAATGTAACTTGGTGGTGGAGAACAGGCCTTCTATGTGCTAGGCCTTGACTTTGATTTCTAGCTCAACAACAAATAAATAAACAAAAATTACAAAATATCTCAGTAGTTCCATATTCCATCAAATTTATCTTTTGAAAATATCATTCAACCTTTTGATAAAAGATATTGGTAATTTTTTTAAAGGGTATTTGTAAAGTTAGATGCAAATATTGTTTTTCATTTTGTTATTTTTTCTAATTTACACGGTTCTTCCTAAAAGAGTATGTTTCCACCAGCATAAAATTGTGTCTAGAATAATTTTAATATTTTCTTCATTAAAATTTTTTAATTTTTTGTGTAAAAATATGCAAAATGTATTTTACTCTATTAAACCAAAATTAAAATAATATCAAACCTTTTTTACTATTTTGACTTCAATCTGATTGCTAGCATTGTTCTATCAGTATCGTGTTGGTACAGCTAACATCTGTTTTATTCTATGTTTTTCTGGCAGTGGATAAATAACATCATCTTTAGACAGAAGAATCATATACAAAGAATCAAGTCCCAACTGCAAGTGACGAAAGGATTATATTCATAATCAAATGAGTGGCCTCTTAACAGAAATGAACAAAGAATAATTTCATGATTGTAGAGTACATGAAAGGTGAATTCAACAGAAAGGAAACCCATGTATATTGCTCATCTAAACCGTTAAACCCAACGGCTAATTTTCCTCTTATTTGATCTATCAGCAGCATGTGACATAATGTTGCCATTCCTCACCTGGCTGTTAGGACATCACCAAGTTCAGGTTTTTTTTCCTACCTTTCTGGGTGTTCCTTCCCACATGTCTTTGTTGTTTCTTCCTCTTTTTCTTGACTGTTTATTTTAAAGTGCCCTATTATTTAGTATTTGATTCTTTCCACTTCCCTAACTTCTAAACTCCTCTAGAGAGTGCATTTGGCCTCAATGCTTTCTATACCATCCACAGTGAACACAAATTCATCATCTCTTTCAAGACTGAGATTCAACTACCTACTTGACCTCTCCACTTGCATATCCATTAGACCTTTCATACTTAGGGCAACCAAAGCCTCTCCCATCCTCATAGCACAGCCCTGCTCCACTGCCTCTTTCATATCTCTTTCCAGTTGCCAAGGCCAAAGACATGAGCGCCATCCTTGACCCCTCTATCTCTTACTGTCTCCTTCCACAAGAACGAACATTGCACAAAGACTAGACTTTTCTTTTTCAGTTCTATTTTGATGGCAGGTTTATCACAAATACCTAGACAATAAAGCTCTGCATGTGGTGCATAATACTTGAAAAATAAATTGGTGAACATTTGTAATTTTAGTGAAGAATTTCTAATTTATTACTTTAAGTTTAGAAATAATAACTGCACATCAAAGTGTATATCAGTACTGTCCCTGGAGATAGGTCCTTCAGTACAAGGGCAGGGTATTACTACAATTTTATATGGAGTTGTTCCCAAAGGTTCCGTAAATCAAAATAAAATCATTAGGATATGCTTCAAACACAAGTTATAAAAGTCACTGCTTTTCTCCCAACAGTGTATGAAAATAGAAATCAGGAGAAAAAAACACACATTCCCAATTACATAAAAAATTGTATGTTTCTCCCTTGCAAAAGCATAACTCTAGATCATGTTTTATTATATAGTATGATAGACATGGCAACCTAATTCTAGAAAAAGCTACCAAGAATGATATGGTTATGTGTGTCTTTGGAAATATATTTAATTGAAAGAAAAAATCATAATTGAGTTATAAACCTTAAGAGCCTTAGAGGAAGAAAGCAACCAGAGATTATTCAGTCCAGGTTCCTTATTTTATGGATGAAAAACTTGAGCTAAAAGTGATTAGGTGGTTTGCACATGGGACCTAGCTGGGGGTGACCCAGGATGTCTACACAAATATTCTTCCTCACTGTGAAGTTCTCTGCTTTACCACAAAGATACTGACTGGAATTTAAGGAACCTTGAGTGTACAAAGAAACAAGTAATTTAAGTAGAAGTTCCCTGAACTCACATTTTATTTCATGTCCCTTATCTGATGAGTAAAGTAATAAGCCACTGTTTATTTGGTTATGCTTCTTCAGCGCCACTACCTGGATGGCATCATAAAATGGGAGCGCTTCAACGCTAAGGAGTCTTAAGAGGAAGGCTGAGCTTGTAACCCAACGCACATTTCTGTTTTGTCTTCTTGGGTAGTTTTATGATGCTGTATCTTCAGTTGATGGTCCAGCTACATTGTCTGGATAGTATTCAGATTGAGCTTATCACTTTTCTAAGGGTGGTGGCAGCAAGGAACAAAATATATTCTACCCTAACAATTCCAGTTCTCCTTTAACCAGTGAAGAGATCACTCCTTTTTCTAGTTACTCCCTTCACAGATTTACATAACAAATTTTTAACTCACATGTATTCGAGAACGTACAAGTCCTTTGCGTTTCCAGTTATCTTTATTGGAATCATAAAGATACCACTTTGAATCTACTAAAATCTGTCACATATCCTGATCAGTAGCTGTTTTATCCTCTTGCGGCACTGTCCACTTATCTTCACTAACATGCTTACTATAAGTCATTATGAGAGTGATTACATGTTACCCACTGTGCTAGGTGTTAGGAAAATAGAAGAGAACAAAACAGACAAGGTACTTGCACTTGTATACTCGTGGGGGAAAGTTAACCAAAGAAATGCCTAAGGAAACATGTATTGAAACTGCTCTTCTTTGAAAATGGGATTTATTAGTTTCCTGTGCAGTGGTGCATTTAAAGAGGTTATTTGATTTCACTGAGGATTAAAATTTTTATCTTGTTTATTTTTGAATCTTCCAGAAAACAGCACAATACCTATGCCTTAGAGGAAGCCTTCAATGTTTTCTAAATTGAAATAGACATAAGCTTACATTTACATACAGATACATACCCAATTATGCATTGTACATGTGTGTCTTATTATCCTCTTTTATAAGGTTGACGGTACAAGTAAGAGAAGAGTATTATCACACAGGCTTATAAGACAAACAATGATTATAAAAAAATCCCCAATGGAAGAGAAGGCTTGAGACGAGACAATGGATCAGAAATTATTTAGAGTTTCAAAATTAAAGTTCACTGCAATTTTAACGCACAACATTATGTCACTCTTGCTAAAGAGGATGTGTTGATCAATAATGCTTTTTTAGGTCTCAGCTTATATTCAAAGAAATGGCCAAATTTTGTGATTCTCTTGTGTGAGCATTTATTGAGAAACACGTGACCAAAAACAGGTCTCAACATACAATTTTTATAACAATACAAAAGTTTGGATTTTTGCATTTCTAAATGTTGCTAAGATTTTTAAAAAAGGCTTTAGGTTCTTTAAGATTTCTGTTAAATAGCTTCAGCTATATTTTATGATACTGTTAATAATTTAATGCTTACCCTGTACATTTTAAGCACATTTATATTCAGAAATTCTTTCTGAAATGATGCTAAGTTGTGTTCTCAACGCTCTTTAAAAAATAACCATAAAAAATTATCATCAGATATCATTCCTTTCCTCACCTGTATCATTCTGAAAAAACTGAGAAGTCTCTGAGTGGGACATGACTGAACTCTCTGAATCTCACTGGCATTCTTATTTCATTATTTTATCTGTTTTAATCAAAGAACACTCTTCTAAGAGGCCGAATGCATACACAGTCCTACCCCACAGATGTCTACACCCTTGAAAAGGCTGTGTTTTTCCTCAAACTGCTAGGGTCACTATGGTTCAGACATAGTTTAGGTTCAGAGGCAGCGGCTCTGTGCCTCAGCAGAAGGGAGCACCATGAGAAGCAGCAGCCACACTGGGCATGGACAGTGCGGGCTGGAAAGCCCAGGCAAATGGGCTGGCCAAGACATCTGCAGGGAATGTTGCTTCCTTTGTCACCAACAGGCAGCAAGAAGGAGGAGAAGAAAGGAAGACTTCTGCCCTCAAGAACACAAAAACCAAAGTTTCTTGTTTACTTTTTTAACTTCTGGAGTTTAGGAAAAAGCAGGTTCACCCCACATTGCATAGTCCTACCTCTGCAGCTGAAAATGCTCAAAAAAAATGTCAAGCTGGATTCTTAAAGATTCAATAGAGGAAAGCTGTCATTTTTGTTCTCACAAGAAATTTAGCCTGTTTTTCAAACACCTTTTCACAAACATGATGGTAGACTGGTAGGCACCCATCACCAAAAAAATTGCCACTTGTTTCTTTTAAATAGAGGTAAGATTTAAAATTTCCAGCTCTGTGCAATACAAAGTAATTTTGCTTAGGATACAAGAGCCTGATGTTTAAAGTAAGAGACTGGCAGGTTCATGGGTCTGATCCTTTTCAAACAGTATAATCATTTTTCTTTTCCTCCTTTAGTAAGCTAATCTTTACAGGCATCTACCATTTAAAATTTCCCTTCTAGGATCAGAGACCATGGAAGGTTTGATGACATCAGAAAAACTCTCTGAGTAATGCTCTGGGGCACCTGAGAAGGGGGCTCCCAATCTCAGATCACTCTTGCTCTGCCTTTCCTGGAGGACGTGCTCAGGAAAACCCATGATGAAAGGAAGAAGTGTCAGGGCCTTCAGCCTCCAGGAGAAAATAACTCTGTGGGAAGAGATCTACAACTATGAAACTTTTATTAGTAGACTATTAAAATGGATGAAAATACATTTGAACATTAGAATATTAGTTTTTTGTCTATACAGCTGATAAATACTTAATGCAGAGCTTTGTGCCTGCAGGAAAAAGAATTGTTGGATTTGGTGCTAAATCTAACATACTGATTTAATGGTCATCTTTTCCAAGTTAAGCAGTCTGAATTCTTTCTTCCACGTTTTAGTTTCTCACAGTAAAACTAAATAAAATCTAATGGGAAGATATGCAGTACTCCCTGAGTCACACCTCATCAGAGAATTCTTTAGA